GATGTTTTCTAAAATATATGTCTGCTTAAAAAGTAGTACAGTAACTTATTGATAGCATCTTGTTGTGTACCCATGTGTAAGTTCCCCAAAGTAAATGAGCACCTTCTCGAGTGGCCAATAATTTATAGATACACTAGATGACTTATAGGGGGCGCTGTGTTGAAGCCATCGTGCCGCCATTTTGGCAGTCCCCCATCGTTGTAATTTTTTATATTTTGGAAGCCATAGAAATGCATTTATACATTTATTACTTTTTGTCACATTTATTCTATTACAGACACCTTAATCCAATGCATACTTTTCAATTATATTATGTGAGCTAAACATTTAAAAAATTAAGACATATATAAATATATTTTCCTTAAAGTTAAATTTTTAGAGATTACTAATGTTGCTGTCCCCACTACAACAGCAAAAAAAGACTTAAATACATGTAATTTTGTCCTTGAAACGTTTAATTTAAATATTGTAGAATTCAGTTAATTCCTATGTAGAACTGCTCCTACTAGGGAGTGCCAATGTGGCCGACCAGTGGCTTCAAACCTCTCAATGGCCAATACATAGCATCAGCAATCCAGGACTTATATACATCATTGGTAGTGGCAGGCAGGTCGGTGGGGGAGGGGAGTGTTTTGGAGGAATGCAGTGAGGCAGGTCCTATTCTGTGTATGGTGGTGGTGGGGAATGGGGTGAGCTGGGATGGGGGCGCAGGGAGCACTCCTGTGTGTGCCTCATCTGGGAGCCCTTCAAAGGATCAGACTGCTGGGAAGCTGGTTGTGAGTGTCATCAGGAAATGTATTGTTTTGCTTCAAATCATTATAAACTCAGGTCTGTTTTTAGCTCAAAACTAAATCAAATTAATGTTTAAGCCAACATTCAACTGCCAAATGCAATTCTCTTTCAGTGGAAGATTAAACATTTATTAACTGTACAGAGAAAAAAGCCAAAGCACCTTGATCAGTGTCACACAATGTTGGTGTACTGTTGTTTCTATTCTTCTCTTTAAAAAAATAAAACCCCATCAACTGCCAGTCTGGGCTCACAGTCCCATTAATACCTTAGGTTAATGCCTTTTCTGTTACTGAGTCTATTTGATATTTCTGCAGCTACATTATATATACAAAAGTATGTGGACACCCCTTGAAATGAGTGCATTTGGCTATATATATATTTATTTTTTTGTCATTTAGCAGACGCTCTTATCCAGAGCGACTTACAGTTAGTGAGTGCATACATTTTTCATACTGGCCCCCCGTGGGAAACAAACCCACAACCCTGGCGTTGCAAGCGCCATGCTCTACCAACTGAGCTACAGGAGGGCCTATTTCAGCCACACCCGTTGCTGACAGGTCTATAAAATTGAGCACACAGCCATGCAATCTCCATGGACAAACATTGGCAGTAGAATGGCCTTACTGAAGAGCTCAGTGACTTTCAACGTGGCACCGTCATAGGATGCCACCTTTCCAACAAGTCAGTTCGTCAAATTTCTTCCCTTTTAGAGCTGCCCCGGTCAACTGTAAGTGCTGTTATTGTGAAGTGGAAACGTCTAAGAGCAACAACGGCTCAGCCGCGAAGTGGTTGGCCACACAAGCTCACAGAACGGGACCGCTAAGTGCTGAAGCACGTAGCGCGTAAAAATCGTCTGTCCTTGGTTGAAACACTCACTACCGAGCTCCAAACTGCCTCTGGAAGCAACGTCAGCACAAGAACTGTTCATCGGGAGCTTCATGTAATGAGTTTGCATGGCCGAGCAGCCACACACAAGCCTAAGATCACCATGCGCAATGCCAAGAGTCGGCTGGAGTGGTGTAAAGCTTGCCGCCATTGGACTCTGGAGCAGTGGAAACGCATTCTCTGGAGTGATGAATCACGCTTCACCATCTGGCAGTCCAATGGACGAATGTGGGTTTGGCGGATGCCAGGAGAATTCTACCTGCCCCAATGCATAGTGCCAATTGTAAAGTTTGGTGGAGGAGGAATAATGGTCTGGGGCTGTTTTTCATGGTTCGGGCTAGGCCCCTTAGTTCCAGTGAACGGAAATCTTAACGTTACAGCATACAATGACATTCTAGACGATTCTGTGCTTCCAACTTTGTGGCAACAGTTTGGGGAAGGACCTTTCCTTTTTCAGCATGACAATGCCCCGGTGCACAAAGCGAGGTTCATACAGAAATGGTTTGTCGAGATCGGTGAGGAAGAACTTGACTGGCCTGCACAGAGCCCTGACCTCAACCCCATTGAACATCTTTGTGATGTATGGGAACGCCGACTGCGAGCCAGGCCTAATCGCACAACATCAGTGCCCGAACTCACTAATGCTTGTGGCTGAATGGAAGCACGTCCACGCAGCAATGTTCCAACATCCAGTGGAAAGCCTTTCCAGAAGAGTGGAGGCTGTTAAAGCAGCAAAGGGGGGACCAACTCCATATGAATGCCCATGATTTTGGAATGAGATGTTCGATGAGAAGGTGTCCACATACTTTTGGTCATGTAGTGTACTTACCCAGGCTTTGTACATTTTTTAAGAATCTTAATTAAAAAGTGACTTTGTTTGCTTGAGGGAGGGACAAGATATTTGTTGATCATTGATTTGATTTAATCTTGAAGTGAAGTCAGTATTAGTAAGGTGGAGCAGATCTATCTCAGCCACTTGAGTATGCGAAATTCCCCAGAGTGAAGAATGTGACTTGTTGAGGCTTGCTTGCAATGCTTTCTGGGAAATCCTGGAATGTGTGGAATGGGGGACAGTGCCACGGTGGTGTGTGTCTGCAGTCATATCTGACTGGGTAGAGCACTGAGCGTCCTGCACTGAATCCAACAGGTCAGTGCTTTGGAGCACCACTTGTGTGTGGCTCAGGCAAGCTCCATTACACCCTGTTAACTGTAGAGGATAAGTTAATGAGTTAATTAGCTAGTCATACAGAGGTCTCACAGGGCTGTGTGAGACACAATGTACTCCAATTGTTTCACAAAAAAAACACGTTTTTTGATTGATTCACAAAAAACTTTTTCATAATGTTAAAATGTATGCTTTTGAGTAAATAAAAGGTATGGTTTTAATCAGAGTTTTGTGTTGGTCTGCTGTTAGAATAAATGAGGTCGCCTATATGTTTATTTGAGCAAAATAAGATCAAAAAGAAAACTGCAAACATTTAATCATTAGGTTAACATGAACTGTTGTCATAGTGGTATTACTTTTCTTTAGATGCCAGACTTTATTTTTTATTTTGTCGCTATCTAGATTGAGTCTCAATATGAAATGTTAATACTGTACATTGAAATCCTTTGATTCATCATTGAAATTGGTCTTCATTGTATAGTTAAAGAATCATTTGTATTTAATTTATTTATAGATCTACTTGGTAAATTGTAGGCTATGTAAAGGCCACATTTCCTTGAACAGTTGTGTCATGTTTTTGTCTTGAAAAGCAAGGATATGCAATTAAATCTTGTGTAGCTATAGTCACGATAGTCAAGGCTAACTGCAATGATTGGCCATTGTATAGAAAGGGCTCGTGAATAATGAGGAACAAGGGCAAAGTGGATACACATGACGAGCCCGTGTTCCCGAACGTGACCCAGCCTCAATCTTTGGGGCCACATTTAGCAGTGAAAATAGGAAGAATAAACCATATGTTTTCAACCGGAAAATACCAATTAGGCCTAGGTTTCTACATTTATGAGATGTATTAAATATAACTAAGCCTATTTATTTCATCATTTGAAGGCTGATGAAATAAATAATTTAAAACAGCTGAAAACTTTAAGATTAGGCTATACGAGAAAATGTCATACGCCCATGGACACATAGCTAAAGTGCTTAAATTCTGCCGATGAATCTGTGTTACCAAAAGCAAATCGTTACGAAAATGATTTGACAGCAAATGCAGTAATCGGATGTTAGTCATATTTTCAACGATTTGGCGAGAGGCAACGAAAAAAACATCAATTGGGCCAGTAGCACACGCTTGCACCTCAATATGACTGTAGCCTATTTGAACATTCAATATTTGTGTTATTCGATTAATTCAGTTATATTATTCACTTCACATTTCAATGGACCAGTGCTTTCGATGGTAAAGGGGTTTTAATCCCTGTTATTTTGAATGTGGAAGAAACACATTATGAACCTACAGTATAGTCTTCCAAGTTTTGATTATAAAAATTACATCCCACCCATAGGTTTGCATACAGTGCAGTGGGCTGCAAGCGTTTTGCACAGAATAACGATTTGATGCCATCCAATGGGCAGAGAGCATACATACACCTCAAGAACCTTGTTTGTCACACTTAAATTAATGTTAAAATGCTGTAATTTTGTTTAACCGTTATAGAAAGGACACATGTTTTGGACTCCATACTTTTATTGTATCTATGATTGTTTAGGACAAACAGCTAATTACAGAGTCCCCATAGGCTAGGTTAGGATTCTAAAAACAAAATAGGGTATGCTGTGAAGAGTAGCCAACAAGAGAAAAAGTAAAAAGTAAATATTTGTTATACTGTATGTAATAATTTGTATAAATCCATCTAACCATGGTCAAGTAATATCCACCACACAAGCATGTCCACCACAGAGGAGCTAGCTACATCCTTATTGAACATAGGCTACATGAGCCAACCTGCATAATAATTCACCACAAACACGTGACTTTTCAGAAACGGTCACCTGAGCATGTTTCAGTTTACATGCTCATTGAAGTTAATATACATTTGCACAAGGAACAAAATCAGTATTGCATATAGGACATGTAAAAGTACTGTAGCTAAATAGACAAGCAAATATATATATTATATATATATATATATATATTATTAAGACAAATATTCACTTATATACATTAACCTAGAATCAGTGTCTATCCAAATTGTATTTTCCCTAACCCTAACCCTAGGCATACTGATCACATGGGGTAAATGCTGGGGTGATTGATGAAAAACGAGTTATAAAACGGTATTCCAGCAGGTGGCGCTATATATGTCATATATTGTTGTCCAGAAAGAAAATTACCTTACCAAAAAACACACAGCCACCGTTTTTATTTATTTTTTAGATCTGGAGGAATAGTCATGTCAAAACTGAATAATTGTTTTGTCAAATACATCCTCATGTGTCTTTCAGTTCCGCTGTGTTACCTTCATTTGCCCTCTGTAAGAAAATAAAGGTTATATTTTAAAATCAATATGGACTATGGAAGATTGACAACAAAGATATACTTTTTCAGGACTTAAAGCAAGACTGTCTATTTTAACAGATAAATCCAGTGTTTATTTCATCGGAAAATGCAACATTTGTAAATAACAGATAGCTGCAAGTGTAGGTATGAGTGTCAAACCTTGGCTTCAGCTATCTTCTGGACATGATCCAGAGCAGAGAACTCAGGTGAAGGGAAGTCAAGGGGGTGATTATCCACCGAGGACTCATGGGGCATCTTGACAACATCAGGAAGAAAAATCCATGTTTTTTCATGGTAATTTCAGCAAGAGATTTTATGCAAGAGGAGATGCATGTCCCTGTTATTATCAAAGGGATATCTGAGGTGGGACTCACCAGGACAGGTGGGGCTCTGAAAAGGTAACTGAAGGGGTAGTGGAGCAGGTTGATGCAGGTGGAAGAGTACAGGTCAGCGTAACGCATGAGCTGGCTGGCAAACAGAGTCTGTCTGGAGCCACTCCGCAGCAGGCTGCCCATCTGCCCATAGGACAGATCCATCCTAAAGGTCACCACCTATAAGACACAAGGCGACGTACCCCACATGAAAAAATACTACAGTTTACTATAGAATACTACAGTACTTCCTATATAATTCTGTAGTAAACTATAGTATACGGTAGAATACTATACTACACACTGTAGTATCCCTCAATCAGGTGTAGTACTAACTATAGAAGGTTGTAATATACTGTAGAATACTATAGTAAATACGACAGTATTATGTGCAAAACAAACACTAGTAAATACTACAGTAATGTCAGCAAAACCACTACAGTCCACAAAAACACTATACTTTTTTAACTACAGTGAATAATACAGTATTTAATTTGCATATACCCATTCCCCTCCCCCGTGTCCCAATTTGTGCCACCCATAAGTGAGAAACCTACATGCTAACTATATACCATACAGTGCCTTCAGAAAGTACTCAGACCCCTTGACTTTTTTCACATTTTGTTACGTTACAGCCTTATTCTAAAATCTACACACAATACCCCATAATGACAAAGCAAAAATAGTTTTTTTGAAATCTTTGCTAATTTATAAAAAATAAAGAACATAAATATTGCATTTACATAAGTATTCAGACCCTTTACTCAGTACTTTGTTGAAGCACCTTTGGCAGCGATTACAGCCTCAAGTCTTCTTGGGTATGACGCTAAAAGCTTGGCACACCTGTATTTGGGGAGTTTCTCCCATTCTTCTCTGCAGATCCTCTCAAGCTCTGTCAGGTTGGATGGGGAGCGTGGCTGCACAGCTATTTTCAGGCCTCTCCAGAGATGTTCGATCAGGTTTAAGTCCGGGCTCTGGCTGGGCCACTCAAGGACATTCAGAGACTTGTCCCGAAGCCACTCCTGTGTTGTCTTAGCTGTGTGCTTAGAGTCATTGTCCTGTTGGAAGGTGAACCTTTACCCCAGTCTGAGGTCCTGAGAGCTCTGGAGCAGGCTTTCATCAAGGATCTCGCTGTACTTTGCTCCGTTCATATTTGCCTCGAACCTGACTAGTCTCCCAGTCCCTGCCGCTGAAAAACATCCCCACAGCATGATTCTGCCACCACCATGCTTCACCGTAGGGATGGTGCCAGGTTTCCTCCAGACGTGACGCTTGGCATTCAAGCCAAAGAGTTCAATCTTGGTTTCATCAGACCAGAGAATCTTGTTTCTCATGGTCTGAGAATCTTTAGGTGCCTTTTGGCAAACTCCAAGCGGGCTGTCATGTGCCTTTTACTGAGGAGTGGCTTCTGTCTGGCCACTCTACCATAAAGGCCTGATTGGCAGAGTGCTGCAGAGATGGTTGTCCTTCTGGAAGGTTATCCCATCTCCACAGAGGAACTCTAGAGCTCTTTCAGAGTGACCATCGGGTTCTTGGTCACCTTCCTGATCAAGGCCCTTCTCCCCCGATTGCTCAGTTTGGCCGGGTGGCCAGCTCTAGGAAGAGTCTTGGTGGTTCCAAACTTCTTCCATTTAAGAATGATGGAGGCCACTGTGTTCTTGGGGACCTTCAATGCTGCAGAACTGTTTTGGTACCCTTCCCCAGATCTGCTTCTTCGACACAATCCTGTCTCGGAGCTCTACGGACAATTCCTTCGACCTCATGACTTGGTTTTTGCTCTGACATGCACTGTCAACTGTGGGACCTTATATAGACAGGTGTGTGCCTTTCCAAATCATGTCCAATCAATTGAATTTACCACAAGTGGACTACAATCAAGTTGTAGAAACATCTCAAGGATGTTGAATGGAAACAGGATGCACATGAGCTCAATTTCGAGTCTCATAACAAAGGGTCTGAATACGTATGTAAATAAGGTATTTCTGTTTTTAATTTTTAATACATTTGTAAACATTTCTAAAAACCTGTTTTCGCTTTATCATTATTGGGTATTGTGTGTAGATTACTGAGGATTTTATTTTATTTCATCCATTTTAGAATAAGGCTGTAACGTAATTTTTTTTGGAAAAAGTCAAGGGGTCTGAATACTTTCCAAAGGCACTGTACATTGTGTTCCATAGAGGTTATAGAAAAGAGCAGAAGCTCAGAACTATCTGTTCAGTCCCCAGTCCTACCTACCTACAGGTTATGGAAAACTTGCTCTTTAGTATTTCTCTAGTAGGTTTCCTCAAGGAGAAAGCCTCCACTTCTATGTTCAAGATAATAAAACAAAAAAACTATAGTAAATACTACAGTAATGTCTGCAAAAACACTACAGTAAATACTATTAGTATAGTGCAGTCTGCAAAAACACTACAGTAAATACTATTAGTATAGTGCAGTCTGCAAAAACACTACAGTAAATACTACAGTATACTACAATCTGCAAAAACACTACATTAATTACTATTACTATAGCATATACTACAGTTATTTTACTACAGTATTTATATTATATTCACTGTAGTATTTTTGCTGACTTTAGTGAATACTACAGTAAGGTCCGCAAAAACACTACAGCAAATACTATGGTATTTATACTATAGTATACTATAGTATTTTTTCATGTGGGATAGTCACAAAATGCATTTAGCAGCATCATAAAGCTAGACTGAAAATGACCTCACTCAGGTGTAGTTATGATAACATTATGCCTGGGAAACACATAAAAACACAACATCGGTGGATGATGTGTGGATGTGTAAGAGCAGTGTTTCCCAACCCTGGTCCTCCAGTACCCCCAACAGTACACATTTTTACTGTAACCCTGAACAAGCACACATGATCCAACTTGTCAACTAATCAACTAAATGAGTTGAATCAGGTTTTTTTGTCCGAGGCTATTGGGGGTACTAGAGAACTGGAGTTGGGAACCACTGTGTTAGAGCATTTCTCAGAGAGGGATTACAGTGGCTTGCGAAAGTATTCACCCCCCTTGGCATTTTTCCTATTTTGTTGCCTTACAACCTGGAATTAAAATGCATTTTGGGGGGGTTTGTATCATTTGATTTACACAACATGCCTACCACTTTGAAGATGCAAAATATTTTTTATTGTGAAACAAACAAGAAATAAGACAAAAAAACAGAAGACTTCAGCGTGCATATCTATTCACCCCCCCAAAGTCAATACTTTGTAGAGCCACCTTTTGCAGCAATTACAGCTGCAAGTCTCTTGGGGTATGTCTCTGTAAGCTTGGCACATCTAGCCACTGGGAATGTTGCCCATTGTTGAAGGCAAAACTGCTCCAGCTCCTCCAAGTTGTATGGGTTCCGCTGGTGTACAGCAATCTTTAAGTCATACCACTGATTTTCAATTGGATTGAGGTCTGGGCTTAAACCACTCGAGTGTTGCTTTAGCAGTATTCTTAGGGTCATTGTCCTGCTGGAAGGTGAACCTCCGTCCCATTCTCAAATCTCTGGAAGACTGAAACAGGTTTCCCTCAAGAATTTCCCTGTATTTAGCGCCATCCATCATTCCTTCAATTCTGACCAGTTTCCCAGTCCCTGTCGATGAAAAACATCCCCACAGCATGATGCTGCCACCACCATGCTTCACTGTTGGGATAGTGTTCTCGGGGTGATGAGAGGTGTTTGGTTTGCGCCAGACATTGCGTTTTCCTTGATGGCCAAAAAGCTCAATTTTAGTCTCATCTGACCAGAGTACCTTCTGTTTGGGGAGTCTCCCACATGGCTTTTGGCGAACACCAAACGTGTTTGCTTATTTCTTTAAGCAATGGCTTTTTTCTGGCCACTCTTCCGTAAAGCCCAGCTCTGTGGAGTGTACGGCTTAAAGGGGTCCTATGGACAGATACTCCAATCTCCGCTGTGGAGCTTTGCAGCTCCTTCAGGGTTATCTTTGGTCTCTTTGTTGCCTCTCTTATTAATGCCCTCCTTGCCTGGTCCATGAGTTTTGGTGGGCGGCCCTCTCTTGGCAGGTTTGTTGTGGTGCCATATTCTTTCCATTTTTTAACAATGGATTTAATGGTGCTCCGTGGGATGTTCAAAGTTTCTGATATATTTTTTTATAACCCAACCCTGATCTGTACTTCTCCACAACTTTATCCCTGACCTGTTTGGAGAGCTCCTTGGTCTTCATGGTGCCGCTCACTTGGTGGTGCCCCATGCTTAGTGGTGTTGCAGACTCTGGGGCCTTTCAGAACAGGTGTATATACAGTGAGGGAAAAAAGTATTTGATCCCCTGCTGATTTTGTACGTTTGCCCACTGACAAAGAAATTATCAGTCTATAATTTTAATGGTAGTTTATTTGAACAGTGAGAGACAGAATAACAACAACAAAATCCAGAAAAACGCATGTAAAAAATGTTAGAAATTGATTTGCATTTTAATGAGGGAAATAAGTATTTGACCCCCTCTCAATCAGAAAGATTTCTGGCTCCCAGGTGTCTTTTATACAGGTAACGAGCTGAGATTAGGAGCACACTCTTAAAGGGAGTGCTCCTAATCTCAGCTTGTTACCTGTATAAAAGACACCTGTCCACAGAAGCAATCAATCAATCAGATTCCAAACTCTCCACCATGGCCAAGACCAAAGAGCTCTCCAAGGATGTCCGGGACAACATTGTAGACCTACACAAGGCTGGAATGGTCTACAAGACCATCGCCAAGCAGTTTGGTGAGAAGGTGACAACAGTTGGTGCGATTATTCGCAAATGGAAGAAACACAAAATAACTGTCAATCTCCCTTGGCCTGGGGCTCCATGCAATATCTCACCTCGTGGAGTTGCAATGATCATGAGAACGGTGAGGAATCCGCCCAGAACTACATGGGAGGATCTTGTCAATGATCTCAAGGCAGCTGGGGCCATAGTCACCAAGAAAACAATTGGTAACACACTACGCCGTGAAGGACTGAAATCCTGCAGCGCCCGCAAGGTCCCCCTGCTCAAGAAAGCACATATACAGGGCCGTCTGAAGTTTGCCAATGAACATCTGAATGATTCAAAGGAGAACTGGGTGAAAGTGTTGTGGTCAGATGAGACCAAAATCAAGCTCTTTGGCATCAACTCAACTCGCCGTGTTTGGAGGAGGAGTAATGCTGCCTATGACCCCAAGAACACCACCCCCACCGTCAAACATGGAGGTGGAAACATTATGCTTTAGGGTGTTTTTCTGCTAAGGGGACAGGACAACTTCACCGCATCAAAGGGACGATAGACGGGGCCATGTACCATCAAATCTTGGGTGAGAACCTCCTTCCCTCAGCCAGGGCATTGAAAATGGGTCGTGGATGGGTATTCCAGCATGACAATGACCCAAAACACACAGCCAAGGCAACAAAGGAGTGTCTCAAGAAGAAGCACATTAAGGTCCTGGAGTGGCCTAGCCAGTCTCCAGACCTTAATCCCATAGAAAATCTGTGGAGGGAGCTGAAGGTTCGAGTTGCCAAACGTCAGCCTCGAAACCTTAATGACTTGGAGAAGATCTGCAAAGAGGAGTTGAACAAAATCCCTCCTGAGATGTGTGCAAACCTGGTGGCCAACTACAAGAAATGTCTGACCTCTGTGATTGCCAACAAGGGTTTTGCCACCAAGTACTAAGTCATGTTTTGCAGAGGGGTCAAATACTTATTTCCCTCATTAAAATGCAAATCAATTTCTAACATTTTTGACATGCGTTTTTCTGGATTTTTTTATTGCTATTCTGTCTCTCACTGTTCAAATAAACCTACCATTAAAATTATAGACTGATCATGTCTTTGACAGTGGGCAAACGTACAAAATCAGCAGGGGATCAAATACTTTTTTCCCTCACTGAATACTGAGATCATGTGACAGATCATGTGACACTTAGATTACACAGGTGGACTTTATTTAACTAATTATGTGACTTCTGAAGGTAATTGGTTGCACCAGATCTTATTTAGGGGCTTTATAGCAAAGGGGGTGAATACATATGCACGCACCACTTTTCCGTTATTTCTTTTTTATAATTTTTTGAAACAAATTATTTTTTTCATTTCACTTCACCAATTTGGACTATTTTGTGTATGTCCATTACATGAAATCCAAATAAAAATCGATTTAAATTACAGTTTGTTATGCAACAAAATAGGAAAAACGCCAAGGGGGATGAATACTTTTGCAAGGCACTGTATGTGTCAGTGGGCATGGTTTACCTTCATCCTGGTCTGAATGGCAGTTATGTTTGGGCACTCTCTACAGCTACTGTCCATGTGCCTAAGGAGAGAGGCCAGTCAGATTGACAACATCATGCACAGCTCTGTCAAGTGCAATAACAGGCGAGTGTCACTAATAGAACAAAGGAAATGCCCACTCACTTGTACAACTCAGCTAAAAATATATCAAGATGCTTCAGCTCTTCAAAGAGATCTTGAGGAAAAAGAGACACTCATCAAAATGGTGTCCAAGATTACATTACCTAAGGTATGTCAAGTGACCATGTGATGTATGTGTGTGGTATATGATAGGTCAGTTTTAGGGTCACTGTGAGGTCATGAAGAGGAGGTTGACCATGTTTGTACTTACGGTTCTTCTCTGTCCACACCTGCAGCTCCTTGGCCAGCTCAGGCACCACTAGGAAGGTCTTCCAACCTTGCCTCTTCTTAGACTTCAGGATGTCCCCAAAGATGTGGTCCCCTACATAGAGAATGTCCTTCCCCTTCACGTCCAGCAGGTCACATACAATGTCTGAGGAGCCTGCAGGGAGGATAGACAGATAAAAGAGGATGGAAAGTTGAGGAGATGTGACACCCACTGATTGGCTCCCACTGAAACCAAGATTGGTGAAACTCACTATTCCTCTCTCAATTTAATACGATCTTAATCCCTTTCTCCTATCTTCCCATTTCCTCTCTGTCCCTCTTCCTAGAATATGTTACCTTTTTTGATGATAATATCCCAGCTAGAACATTTGGTTGCTTGGAAGTTGGGGGAATGTACGTTTTTGGTTTCTTATTGGTTTCCTAACCGGTAAAACTGAACGTTTTTTAAATGTTCTGAGAACGGAAGTGAAAACTTCACCTGTTCTGGGAACATACATTTGTATGTTGCAGGGAGGTTCTGAGAACATTTTACTATGGTTCCCTGAAAGTTTTCCTGGGAGGTTTTATTAACGTTCTGAAAACGGAAATTATAGGCTATTTGAAGATAATTAAATAAGACTTTTAATAACACTGCTAGCTTAGGTTAACTGTTTTCAACGCCAAGCACAGATAGACACATGGAAATTAATTTACTTAGGCATTAATCATGCAAACACATTTCTTTTTTATTGTGGCACAGTGTCAGTGAGATTCGAACCTATGATCTTCTGTTCTCTATCCATGGAATTAGTCCACTGTGCCACCAGGATTGAACTAGCATTCCATGTTTTTTTTTTACTCATACAAAGCTGTTCATTTTAGTCTATTCAAACAGACCCCATTTAAAAAGAAAAAAACACTCTTCAAGCCAATTAGTGGGCGCGGCCTTCACACTTGAGCACACTTAAGATAGAGTTTTGTTGATGCTGAAAACGGAATGTACATTGAGGGAAAAAAGTATTTGATCCCCTGCTGATTTTGTACGTTTGCCCACTGACAAAGAAATGATCAGTCTATAATTTTAATGGTAGGTTTATTTGAAAAGTGAGAGACAGAATAACAACAAAAAAATCCAGAAAAACGCATGTCAAAAATGTTAGAAATTGATTTGCATTTTAATGAGGGAAATAAGTATTTGACCCCTTCTGAATCAGAAAGATTTCTGGCTCCCAGGTGTCTTTTATACAGGTAACGAGCTGAGATTAGGAGCACACTCTTAAAGGGAGTTCTTCTAATCTCAGCTTGTTACCTGTATAAAAGACACCTGTCCACAGAAGCAATCAATCAATCAGATTCCAAACTCTCCACCATGGCCAAGACCAAAGAGCTCTCCAAGGAGGTCAGGGTCAAGATTGTAGACCTACACAAGGCTGGAATGGGCTACAAGACCATCACCAAGCAGCTTGGTGAGAAAGTGACAACAGTTGGTGCGATTATTCACAAATGGAAGAAACACAAAAGAACTGTCAATCTCCCTCGGCCTGGGGCTCCATGCAAGATCTCACCTCGTGGAGTTGCAATGATCATGAGAACGGTGAGGAATCAGCCCAGAACTACACAGAGGATCTTGTCAATGATCTCAAGGCAGCTGGGACCATAGTCACCAAGAAAACAATTGGTAACACACTACGCCGTGAAGGACTGAAATCCTGCAGCGCCCGCAAGGTCCTCCTGCTCAAGAAAGCACATATACAGGCCCGTCTGAAGTCTAAAGTCTGCCAATGAACATCTGAATGATTCAGAGGAGAACTGGGTGAAAGTGTTGTGGTCAGATGAGACCAAAATCGAGCTCTTTGGCATCAACTCAACTCGCCGTGTTTGGAGGAGGAGTAATGCTGCCTATGACCCCAAGAACACCATCCCCACCGTCAAACATGGAGGTGGAAACATTATGCTTTGGGGGTGTTTTTCTGCTAAGGGGACAGGACAACTTCACCGCATCAAAGGGACGATGGACGGGGCCATGTACCGTCAAATCTTGGGTGAGAACCTCCTTCCCTCAGCCAGGGCGTTGAAAATGGGTCGTGGATGGGTATTCCAGCATGACAATGACCCAAAACACACGGCCAAGGCAACAAAGGAGTGGCTCAAGAAGAAGCACATTAAGGTCCTGGAGTGGCCTAGCCAGTCTCCAGACCTTAATCCCATAGAAAATCTGTGGAGGGAGCTGAAGGTTCGAGTTGCCAAACGTCAGCCTCGAAACCTTAATGACTTGGAGAAGATCTGCAAAGAGGAGTGGGACAAAATCCCTCCTGAGATGTGTGCAAACCTGGTGGCCAACTACAAGAAACTTCTGACCTCTGTGATTGCCAACAAGGGTTTTGCCACCAACTACTAAGTCATGTTTTGCAGAGGGGTCAAATACTTATTTCCCTCATTAAAATGCAAATCAATTTCTAACATTTTTGACATGCGTTTTTCTGGATTTTTTTGTTGTTATTCTGTCTCTCACTGTTCAAATAAACCTACCATTAAAATTATAGACCGATCATGTCTTTGTCAGTGGGCAAACGTACAAAATCAGCAGGGGATCAAATACTTTTTTCCCTCACTGTATATGATTTTAAATAAATTCTTAGAACGTTCTCTGTACATTATTATTAAATGTAACCATGTTTTAACTTTTAGGAAACGTTCTGTTAAAGTAATGAAATACCAAGAATATAATGTTTTTTTGTCAAGAAATGTGCTGAGAATGTTCCAAAGACAATCAACTATCCTGCACCATTCCCAGAAAGTTGTGGGAAGGTTGTATGGAAAATAACCATAGGACAACCATGCTCTCACCAAGCTCTAAGAAACATATTGTTATGTGCTAGCTGGGATTAACATTTTAATTCTTACCTCCAGAGTAGACAGTTCCATGCTGGAGGTCTCCAGTGTATGTTCCGATACGAAGCTTCCCTGTGTTCTATGTTGGGTAGATATGAACAGAGCCATGTATATAGAGAGTTGGGCCAATGTGGTTTCTGCATTATGATGCATTTACAGTGCCTTCAGAAAGTATACACACCCTTGACCTTTCCATATTTTGTTGTGTTACAGCCTGAATTCAAAATTGATTTCTTTCCACTACACACAATACCCCATAATGTCAAAGTGGAATTATGTATTTAGAACGTTTTACAAATTAATAAAAAACTTAAAGCTGAAATGTCTTGAGTCAATACGTATTCAACCCCTTTGTTATGGCAAGCCTAAATACGTTCAGGAGTAAAACTTTGCTTAATAAGTCACATAATAAGTTACATGGACTCTGTGTGCAATAATAGTGTTTAACATGATTTTCAATGACTACCTCATCTCTGTACCCCACACATACAATTATCTGTAAGGTCTCTCAGACGAGCAGTGAATTTCAAACACAGATTCAACCACAAAGACAAGGGAGGTTTTCCAATTGGTAGATGGGTAAAAATTGGTAGATGGGTAAATATAAAAAAAGAGTTCATTGAATATCCCTTTGAGCATGGTGAAGTTATTAATTACACTTTGGATGGCGTATACACCCAGTCACCACAAAGATACATGCGTCCTTCCTAACTCAGTGGCCAGAGAGGAAGGAAACCACTCAGAGATTTCACGATGAGACCAATGGTGACTTTAAAACAGTTACAGAATGTAATGGCTGTGATAGGAAAAAAAATGGGGCTGGATCAACAACATTGTAGTAACTCCACAATACTAATCTAATTTACAGAGTGAAAAGAAGGAAGCCTGTACAGAATAAAAAATATTCCAAAACATGCATCCTATTGGGGAACAAGGCACTAAAGCAATACTGCAAAACATGTCCTGATTACAAAGTGTTATGTTTGGGGCAAATCCAATGCAACACATTACTGAGTACCACACTCCATATTTTCAAGCATAGTGGTGGCTGCATCATGTTATGCATATGTTTGTAATCGTTAAGGACTGGGGAGTTTTTCAGGATAAAAAATAAACAGAATGGAGCTAAGCACAGGCAAAATCCTCTAGGAAAACCTGGTTCAATCTGCTTTCCACCAGACACAGGACAATAACCTAAAACACAAGGCCAAATTTATACTGGAGTTGCTTACCAAGAAGACAGTGAATGTTCCTGACTGGCCAAGTTACAGTTTTGACTTAAATCTGCTTGAAAATCTATGGCAAGACCTATAAATGGTTGCCTAGCAATGATCAACAACCAATTTGACAGAGCTTGAAGAATTTTGAAAAGAATAAATGGCAAGTGTTGCACAATCCAGGTGTACAAAGCTCTTAGAGACTTACCCAGAAAGACTCACAGCTGTAATCGCTGCCAAAGGTGATTCTAAAATGTATTGACTCAGGGGTTTGAATACTTATCTAATCAAGATATATTAGTGTTTTATTTTTCATGAATTCTTAACAAATGTTAGAATTTTTTCTCCACTTTGACATTAGAGTATTTTGTGTAAATCATTGACCAAAAATTACAATTACATCAATTTTAATCCCACGTCGTAACACAACAAAATGTGGAAAAAGTCAAGGGGTGTGAATACTTTCTGAAGTCACTATACATGACACTCAACATTCTATGGCAGCCATGTTAACATTAGATGGGGAATATTTAAACAATGCTATGTAACTGAATATATAGAATTAGAACAAGGCATAACTCTAAATATATGGCTCTGGATTAGAACATTAATCTAATTGTGTGGTGTGTTAAAGGATGTTTTCTATTTACACCATGTGATGATGAGTGAAAGGGCCTTACCGTGTCCACTTGTCTCAGCACAGTTCCCTCGGCAAAGAACACTGGCTTCCTGGTATCCACGACGACAAGGTCAAAGAAGGCGCGCCACGGTTTCTTTGGGTACTTAAGAAATTTTTTTTTGAAATGTTCATTAGAATGAATAGTAATTTGTTCCCCAAAACCCTTTTCCTTAATTTGAAACTGGAGACACCTAGACTAACCTTGGCACCTGGTGGAGTTTCAAGCAAGTATTTCATGATAGCCTAGGGAAAAGAACAAAGACACATCCTTAGTATAAAAGTGAATAGAATGGACATGATATATTGAATAGAATAGACATCATATATTGAATAGAATGGACATCATGTACCATGAAACATTAACAACTGACCTCTGTGTAGTTGTAGTCACTGTTGGTGGCAAGGAACACTTTGGCCACCTCCTTAATGCGAGTCAGGAGAACAGGCAAGTTTGGCTATCGGGAAGAAGAGTAAAGGAGAGGGTCAATTCCTCTGGATAGAGAAAGTTTACTCATCTCAGAGACTTTGTTGAGTGTCACTAATTAATTGAGGTATCATCTCATAAATTATGTCCAAAGCACTTTGTCAATATACTGCATCCAAAAAGGGTATCCAATATGAAACAGCAATTAAGGGAGGTTCAAAGTTATTTTCACTCACATCTCTGACGACATATTTATCCAAATTCCTCAGAGTGCTTTCCTTCAGACTGCCCTATATGACAAAATGGAGAGAGTCAGTCTTTACAAAAAGACACAGACAGTAATGTTTCATAATGTGTGAGTATGTGTGTAGGGATGGGGTGGTGTATGTACTGTGTAATTCTAACCGTATCATGAACATAGTCCATTGCATCTCGAACATCCTGGAACATGCTTCTGAATGACATGAACAAGTCACCATGTTTGAAGCCTTTCTGGCAGCTATTTAAAGAAAATAAAAAAAGAGTAGAGAAACTACAGTCACATTATTCACTTATTTTCTTATGATTTACTATTCTCACAGCAGTAGAGAAAGAGAGAGGGCAGCGAGAAGAGGGAGGAAAATAGAGGCCACTCACTTTACGTATCTGCTGCATCTGGTGAAGAGGTCCACAAGGCAACCATCCAGATACGTCTCTGTGGGAGGAGCAGGAGGGGGCATTGCAAAGTCATTCTACTTGACTTTATTTGCAGTATGATTGTACATAACTACACAAAATAACACTGTTGTTGCTACCTGAAAGGTTGAAGAGAGTATTGAGGATATAGAAGCGGTCAGTGTTGCCTTTCTGAATGAAGTTGTTGGGGTAGTAGTCTTGGATCTTGTCCCTGTAGAGAAGGAAAGTATGTATACAACCAGCAAATTAAGCAGTATCCACAGGTGCATATAAAGACGTGTAACATGACAAAAACATGCATTCTGTGTAGAAACTCATTAAGTAAGCTGGTCTGACAACCTCCCCAATAATAGCAAACAGCTACTATTGGAGCATTTCCGGATGATGAGTCATTCAGAGAGAACCCACTGAGCCAACAGATAACAAGATAACATCCAAAGTGCACATAACCCACCAGCACTATCAACGTCACAAGACCTCTCTTTTTTGAGTCTCTTGACTATGACGTTCAGCTAGAGCTGGAGATAGAAACATCCACTGGCTTTCTCCATTGAAGCAACGCTGCAGTCTGCCTCACTGTAAGAGTATGAGGCAGGGATGCATTGACGATTGAGTGGATTTGAACTGGAACCGGAGCCTCTCGATAGCTTAGCTGCTGGTAGGGGTTCCCAAAGGCATCTAAATCCTGATTTATGAATGGAAGATGGGCAGGCCCTCTATGTACATGTCCAGCTAAAGTATAATCAATATAGTCTTTCATGATAAAAAAAACAAGATACACATAGTCCTACATACAACTCACAATAACCCAAAGACTAAGTCAAAAGGAACTCACATAATCATGCAATAACACACATGTAAACACACACATACAGACATTCATTCGCAAATCCCAAGGCACCAGGTGCTGGATATAAATATACTTTTTAATATTTGTGAGCTGGTTACATCACCATTGTAAGCCAATGGAAGAATAAAGAATTCCAAATAGTGCTGCTATATCTGCATCCAATTCATGTTTAGAAAAAACTTGTAACATTCCTGCACACCTTGTGGTGTATCATGTATCATGCCATCCGTTTTGTCACCAAAGCCCCATATACTACCCACCATTGTGACCTGTACGCTCTTGTTGGCTGGCCCTCACTACATATTAGTCGCCAAACCCACTGGCTCCAGGTCATCTATAAATCACTGCTAGGCAAATCCCCGTCTTATCTTAGCTCACTGGTCACCATAGCAACACCCACACGTAGTCTGCGCTCCAGCAGGTATATCTCACTGGTCATCCCCAAAGCCAACACCTCCTTTGGCCGCCATTCCTTCCAGTTCTCTGCTGCCAATGACTGGAACGAACTGCAAAAATCTCTGAAGCTGGAGACTCTTATCTCCCTCACTAACTTTAAGCATCAGTTGTCAGAGCAGCTTACCGATCACTGCACCTGTACACAGCCTTTCTGAAATTAGCCCACCCAACTACCTCATCCCCATATTGTTATTTATTTTGCTAATTTGCACCCCAGTATCTCTATTTGCACATCATCTTTTGCACATCTATCATTCCAGTATTATATGAAATTGTAACTATTTTGCACTATGGCCTATTTATTGCCTTACCTCCATAACTTACTACATTCGCACACACTGTATATATATTTTCTGTTGTATTTTTGACTTTATGTTTTGTTTACCCCATATGTAACTCTGTGTTGTTGTTTTTATCGCACTGCTTTGCTTTATCTTGGCCAGGTCGCAGTTGTAAATGAGAACTTGTTCTCAACTGGCTTACCTGGTTAAATAAAGGTAAAAAAATAAATAAAATAAAGTTTTAGGGGATATTTTGCAGTCATTTCTCAGTCCTCCATGAAAGTACCATGAACATGGAGGCTGTTTTATGTTGTAAGCTGAATATAATGGCAGTATGTAGGCCTACTGAGACAGATGCTCACAGTTGGATCTGACCAAGGTCAGGATCAGGCTCCCTTGGTCTCCAACATCCTCTGTTCTCTGGTAGAGCAGGGCAACCCACAGCCCATCCCCCTGTCCTCTCATAGCCTAGTTTCTCAGTCAGTCCATCTCCTGTACCCTCAACAAGATAAAAACAACTCCTTCATACAGCTGCAATATATAGCCTACACACAGGTAGTGTATTCTACTTCTTCTATGAAATGTAACAACCAGAGGAGAATAAAGAAATTCAGTTTGATAAGATGTGTATAGTATATTGGTCTTTCAGAAAACTTGGTATTTTAAATGAGACATATGAAAATAGTCACGTTGACCTCATGGTTTTCTGTGCCCATGAGCTGTTTCACCCTGATGACCCACTGACTAGACATGCCGATTTGCTGTGTGTGCATGTGTGCGTGTGCGCGTGTCATTGCCCTGTTCCCCTACTTAGATTAATTTGCAAAGTGGTTGTGCAGATGTGCCCTCAGTGACAGTGTTGACCCAAGGACATCCTGTTACAGAATGAGAAACAGTATACTCACAACAAACAAACACACACACACACAGTCTTGTATAACTAACTTTGTGCGGTCACACAATTCAATCCCATTCAAAATCCTATTTTCCCTAACCCCCTAACCCTAAACCTAACCTGAAAACCTTAACCCTAAACCTAACCCTAGCTCCTAACCCTAAACCTAATTCTAACACTAATTCTAACCTTAACTCTAAACCCTCTAGAAATAGCATTTGACCTTGTGGGGACTAATAAAATGTCCCCAGTTGGTCAAATTTTTGTTTGTTTACTATTCTTGTATAATTAAACACGTCCAAATGCGCACACACACACACAAACTATTGTATTTCCTGTGATGTATCACTCACCTTTTTAGAAAGGTGAAGCCATGACTGCACAGCAGAATGTTTCCATTGGAGTCCACCTTCAGCAAGTTACCATACATTGTGTCAAACACCAGGCCGCTAAGAAGGAGGGAGGAGAGATTGCGATGAAAAAGAGGAAGAGAGAGCAGGAGGTGAATATGGTTATGCAGAGATAAGCAGAGAGAGGAATGATGGGAGAGGGATAGATGATGATATCTTTTAGATTTGTGGCTGCTCTTGATAGTATCAGTAGGTTACTTTTTATTTCTGCTCTATTTTGACCGATCTTGTTGTTCTACTGTTACTAGGCCTTTGGGGAAACTATCTCTGCTGATGAAATGATAAAATGTTAGATGTTTCTCCAGCATAGTGTCCCCATGGGGCAAGGATACAGAAAATAGACTGCACAGAACAACAAATGACTTGAAAAATAATGGTTAGGGGTCATTTCAAAGGTAGACTCCCATAAAGAGTCCCATCCTAACTAACCACGCTTGGCATCAACCCAATGATAAGGCGTTCTAATTCATGTAGAACAGAAAAACATATTTGTGAGTAAAGGGTCATGTTATGTACTACCAAACGTAACATGTAAAAATCAACAGTATGCAAATGTCTGTGGGATCAACAGGAAGAGAGAACTCACCGAGTGGGGAAGGTAGGATCGTAGGTGTAATGCAGTAGCTCATGGGGATAGCCTATAGACACCAGCCTGTCTCTGAGCAGCTCAAAGCCCAGGTCCTCGTAGTCAGGAGACTTGTACTCTACACACACAGGACACATGAACAGTCAGTTTTCATCAGTGAAAATGTAACAATGTTTGTATCCTCATATGCTGTTCAATATACACTACCGGTCAAACGTTTTAGAACAGCTACTCATTCCAGGGTTTTTCTTTATTTTGACTATTTTCTACATTGTAGAATAATAGTGAAGACATCAAAACGATGAAATAACACAAATTGAGTCATGTAGTAACCAAAAAAGTGTTAAACAAATCAAAATGTATGTTTTATTTTAGATTCTTCAAAGTAGCCACCCTTTGCCAAGAGTGTGCAAAGCTGTCATCAAGGCAAAGGGTGGCTATTTGAAGAATCTCAAATATAAAATATATTTTGATTTGTTTAAAACTTTTGTGGTTACTACATGATTCCATATGTGTTATTTCATAGTTTTAATGTGTTCACTATTATTCTACAATGTAGAACATGGTAAAAATAAAGAAAAACCCTTGAATGAGTAGGTGTTCTAAAACTTTTGACCGGTAGTGTAGTTCTGAGGTGTAGGATCAAGCTAACGTGCCTAAATATTTTGAAATAACTTACTTTTTTTTAGAAGGATAAGCTTGAAATGGGCATAGTCTAATTTACTAAATAAAGAAAAACACAAATCTAAGTTTAGCTTTCTTAATGAATCAGAAAATCGAGTTATTTCTGGTTGTTTATCAAAGTTAGCTGGCTAACTCATTAATCCTACTTTGTAGTATACCCCCCTGATTACACACATTAAATCTATGAGACATAGATTTTCTGATTTTCTCCAAAAGTCAGCCTTTTTGGCCGTTTACCAGTACAATCACATCTTCTCTTTGTTGGAGTAGGTCTACTTTGCTACTATACTGAACAAAAATATAAACGCAACATGCAATAATTTCAAAGATTTTACTGAGTTATAGTTCATATGAGGAAATCAGTCAATTGAATTAAATTCATGAGACCCTAATCTCTGGATTTCACATGACTGGGAATACAGATATGTATCTGTTGGTCACAGATACCTAAAAAACAAGTAGGGGCATGGATGAGAAAACCAGTCAGTATCTGTTGTGACCACCATTTGCCTCATGCAGCGCGATAAATCTCCTTCGCATAGAGTTGATCAGGCTGTTGTCCCACTCCTCGTCAATGGCTGTCCGAAGTTTCTGGATATTGGCGGGAACTGGAACATGCTGTCGTACACGTCGATCCAGAGCATCCCAAATGTGCTCAATGAGTGGTGTTCATAAAAATTGCCATCGATAAAATGCAATTGTGTTCGTTGTCCGTAGCTTATGCCTGCCCATACCATAACCCAACCGCCAACATTGGGCACTCTGTTCACAACTTTGACATCAGCAAACCGCTCGCTCACACAACGCCATACACATGGTCTGCGGTTGTGAAACCGGTTGGACATACTGCCCAGTTCTCTAAAACAATGTTGGAGGCGGCTTATGGTAGAGAAATGAACATTTAATTCTCTGGCAACAGCTCTGGTGGACATTCCTGCAGTCATCATGCCAATTGCACGCTCCCTCAAAACTTGAGACATCTGTGGCATTGTGTTGTGTGACAAAACCGCACATTTTAGAGTGGCCTTTTATTGTCCCCAGCACAAGGTGCACCTGTGTAATGATCATGCTGTTTAATCAGCTTCTTGATATGCCACACCTGTCAGGTGGATGGATTATCTTGGCAAAAGAGAAATGCTCACTAACAGGAATGTAAACAAATTTGTGCATTTGAGAGAAATAAGCTTTTTGTGCATATGGAACATTTCAGGGATCTTTTCTTTCAGCTCATGAAACATGGGACCAACACTTTACATGTTGCGTTTATATTTTTGTTCAGTATAGATGAACTTACCTGCCAGAGTGTAGTCCATGTCAAAGCCATAGCATTTGATGTTCTCCAATGTTACACTCCTATTGACGAACACCCTGTAATCAAAGGAAAACAGGACAATTGGAGTTTCTGAAGTGATTATCTGGGAGACAAACAGGGGTCAGTTGAGGAGAAGCAGATATCAGATGGGAATGTCAAAGCTTGTCAGGATACCAAATCAGCTGTACAAGGGTGTTTTATGGTGTGGCTTGAATGTGTCTCTAAATCTGACCTATCGTCTAAGACCAGTTGCTGCATCCTTCAAGAGTAGAACTCATTTTGACAAATTGACTCAACTTGCTTCAAGCCCATGGAAATCAATCAGCTTGAGCCCAATGGGGCTGGTCACATTGGGATATGCCTCACTAACTATAGTCTTGGAAACCAACCATTAAAGAATATCTTATGCTGCACATTCAGCCAAATCAGCTGGTAGTGCATTATCTGGCTCTATATCCTACTGCACTATATCACATCATTACAGTTCTACTCTTATCAGTTCATTAACATCTGTTGTCAATCCTGCCAACATGGACAGCCACGTCCATCTACAGGAAGGTCATTTAAGGTGAAGTCTTTTTTAGGAGGCGGCTACAGTATTGGCAAAGATTTCAGAGACTTGGCACTGCTTCTTTTTTAATGACAGTCACGTACCGTGATTCATGTATCCTGATTCAACTCATTGAGCACACTCTGCAAGTGATCAAACTTTGCAGTCGGTGGTGCTGCAGCAGAAATTGTGGTCGCACAGCTTACACGTCAGTTCTCTCTAGCCTCTACCACACAGAACTCCACCTAATCATCATTAACAGGTTTATATTTCACTAATGGATAGCCTATGTAATAACAAAATCCATATGTTATAGCAAAAAGTATTTTGTTGAATCAAGAAGGGAACAAAGAACTGGAAACCACAAGAATAGACAGAATGGAGAACTTCTGAAAATAGACTGCTGTATTCAGAAGAACCACATTGCCCTACCAAATGTTATAGTATCCCCAAAATAGCATTAAACTAGTTAAAGAGAGATTGCTTTTGTAAATATCAATTCAGGACTCTGTGATCAGTTCAGTCACCAGGTGATATGGAGCCTCTATCAGTGACACCCTGAGAGAGTAACCCATCTCCCTCCTGTCAGAGTGGCCTACACCTCACCCCCTCTGCCTGCCTGTCTGTCTGTCTGCTCCTGCCAATAGCAGCCAGTTCAAAAATATAGGGTTGCTGTTAATAATTCACCTGACAGCTCGTGTTCTGGAAGTGTGTTGCTGAGGAAGCCTCACTTGAGGAAGCTTCACTTGAGGAAGCCTCACTTGAGCGAACAACAACAGTCACCCTGAGACAACAGTCACCCTGAGACAGTGGGTGCCTGGGAGGTATGAACAAGGCTACTGATGGAGTATATCTGGTTTGAAGCATGAATAGTGGACACTGACAGTAATTGGTTAAATAATATACCTAACACTGGTGTAAGGGGATATCGAAGTGTCCCCAAGTGTGATTTACACCAAGTGTGATTTACACCTGAGTGACTGAGAACTTGTATCAAGGCAAGAACATCTGAAGACCTGAGATGCTCTTCTCCTTTAGACCTCAGCCAAACAACTAGCCTATAATGTGGAGGAAGAACAGAAATGGGTGACTCTTACAATCGAGGTGTGAAAGAAAAGGCATCCCTGACCTGACATACCATTCCTAATCTCCACTCCCGTCCACCAATCAGAACAGGTAATGTGAGTCTGTCTGCCAGATCTCTCTGTACATTGTCAGAATCTGCACATGTAAAAAAATAGAAGGCACATTTTCTCCAAGTTCCAGGTAGTTTTAAAATGAAAAAAATAAGCTGAGCCAATTAGTGTATAGTGTATATGTCACAGTACATGCCCTATGACCTTATGCACAACTGTACAGGTTGTGTCTCATTTATACTACAGTATTGCCAGTTTTGTAAGCACTGGTGTAGGATTGGGCCCAATACTGCGTTACACGTCATACATGTATGGGTGTAATAAATATTATGCTATATCAAATAATAACTCACTTGTGCTGATAGTCCATGTTCTTCACCAAAGGCACATCGGGTGAAATGCTCGGGTCTGTATCCGATTTAGTAGGATGATCTGTCACAATCCGAGTCGGATCCTCCATAGTCGTCGCGGTAACAGCCTCTCTATATAGGCTACCCATATCAGATCTCACTATAAATCCTAGCTGTCATCTCACTAGAAGCCTACTAACTGGAGAGGCTTTTAAAGTTCCAAAATACGCAGATGTCCGCGTAAAGGGTTTCACTACACGTCAGTAAACAGCCACTCCCTTGCTTTAAACTTCGTGGTTCGGTAGTTAATAGTGGGTGCGGGGGCTCTGGGACCTACGCATCCTATCTAGTCTATGAATTGGTCAAACGCACAGCGGACTGGAAGCTAGCTTAAAATACCGAGATAATGTAATCAGTCGCACACATGCAGAGGGGAACGTGCGTTTGGCTTGAGTTTGCTGATAGCACTTCTGCGATATGAGCAAAGCTGAACGACTTTCAAAAAACAACAACACAATGAAAGTACTAAAGAAAACAACATTTCGTTTTACATTAGGCCACATACAGGTAACTGCCCAAATAAAGGAAACACCAACATAAAGTGTCTTAATAGGGTGTTGGGCAAGCACGAGCCTCCAGAATAGCGTCAGTGGGTCAGAATATCCCATAAGTGTTCAATAAGGTTGAGATTTCTGGTGACTGACTGACACACACACATACACACACACAGCCTTTAAACCCCATATGCTTCTTTGAGACCTCTCTTTCAAAGTCACTGAGATCTCTTCTTCTAGCCATGGTACTCAAAATAATGGGCAACTGGGCATTTGTATACATGACCCTAAGCATGATAGGATGTTAATTGCTTAATTAACTCAGGAACCACACCTGTGTGGAAGCACCTGCTTTCAATATACTTTGTATCCCTCATTTACTCAAGTGTTTCCTTTATGTTTGCAGTTACCTGTATACCTATAACAATTTTCCCCCCGAATACAGGTGAAAGTAGACATAGCTTTCCATTGAAACATTCTGATAATAATCCTAAACACCACAGTAATTTAAAAAATATTATCTCAAAATGAGTGTAATAAATAAGACAGATAAGCTGTGTATGGAAGCCCAGACTCACTAATAAGGAACTCAAGGCGAGCTGATTGAATCATGCCCTAAGTGATGTAACTTGTTCATCAGTAAACCACATACAGTATGCTGACTTTAGGAGTGTCAGAGGTAAAACCTCTCCCTCCCTGATTAGTGCCTGTTTGCCTGGGGCCAGAGCCTGATAGCGACAGAGACCTGGGCCTGCTCACAATACTAAACAAATGACTTTAATAGGGGGCCCAGAGACTTAACAGTTTTATCACACTGTACTCACCATCCCAAAGGTCAAAATTATTGATTTGCCATCAAGATGACATTAGACTGGAAATGGCTTGGGTGTGGGGCAAATCTTAACAGAGGAGTTTTCACAAAGACAATGTTTTAACAGGAAGGACAAAACAATGTACAAGTCAGACACAATGTCAATGATGATGGCAAATGTTCAGAGTTTGGTGGTTGTGCATGGCTTGATATGATGGGGTTCATGAGGTCTCATCTTTCCCTACCCTGAGGATCCCCTGCTGGGATGCATCCTCTGAATCTCGACAGTGATCTCCATGATGGTGTGGTTCTTGGTCTCAAGCACTTTGTACCACACAAACAACCCTGACAGGAAACAGAAGTAGTCCAACTTCTCCCGTGTATAAACATACTGTGATTGCATGTGTGTATGTGTGTGATATCAGCTGCCACGTTCCCACTTAACAAATAAGAGTCCCAATACCTATGTAATAACCGTGTAATTACAATCTAGGTACTCACTGTCACATAATAGTTACAGTACAACTGTTATACCTGTTTGTGTATGTGACAAGGTATGAGAGAGAGGTTGATGTGCTCACCGCTATGAGGTGGAAGAGCAGCCCCAGCCAGTTGAGGGTGCAACCGATGGTGAAGGCTGCTGATTTGAACGACTGGTTGAAGATTTCACCAGGCAGAGGTGCTGTCACTCCAGCTAGGAGCAATAAACAATGAAAATACCAGCTAAATAAGTTGATTTGTTTTTAGCTTGGTTTAGTTCTACGTCAGGTTATAGGACCCACCTGGTCCACTGGAGAAGAAGAAGGTGAAGATGAGAACTATACTGCAGTAAGGCATCCAGGAGACTTGGATCTGAACAACAAATAACAACAAACGGTGTGGCTTATTGATGAACCACTGATGTTGCCACCCATTGTAAAAGATTGATGTAACCCAGTGATAATATATAAGGACATTCTGTGACATTAAGAATGAATGACATTTATTCATTCATAATGAGCATTGTTCCATTCATGGAAAAGATGTCACCCACAAACTATGTAGTTGATGACAGAGCAGTGTGTTGCTTATAAAGTGTGACTCACCTGCAGGTAGAGTGACCCAGGAGACCCAGGGTAACTGCCATGCATAGGTAATCCCTGTAGAGGAGCAGGCTTTTTCCTGTGCTATCAATGGCGAACGTGCATTAAAATGGCAGAGACAGTTGAAGTCGGAAGTTTACATACACTTAGGTTGGAGTCATTAAAACTCATTTTTCAACCACTCCACAAATGTCTTGTTAACAAACTATAGTTTTGGCAAGTCGGTTAAGTAAGTATGTAATTTTTCCAACAATTGTTTACAGACAGATTATTTCATTTATAATTCACTGTATCACAATTCCAGTGGGTCAGAAGTTTAAATACACTAAGTTGACTGTGCTTTTAAACAACTTGGAAAATTCCAGAAAATGATGTCATGACTTTAGAAGCTTGTGATGGGCTAATTGACATCATTTGAGTCAATTGGAGGTGTACCTGTGGATGTATTTCAAGGCCTACCTTCAAACTCAGTGCCTATTTGCTTGACATCATGGGAAAATCAAAAGAAATCAGCCAAGACCTCCCAAAAAAAATTGTAGACCTCCACAAGTCTGGTTCATCCTTGGGAGCAATTTCCAAACGCCTGAAGGTACCACGTTCATCTGTACAAGAAATAGTACGCAAGTATAAACACCATGGGACAATGCAGCCGTCATACCGCTCAGGAAGGAGACGCGTTCTGTCTCCTAGAGATGAACGTACTTTGGTGCGAAAAGTGCAAATCAATCCCAGAACAACAGCAAAGGACCTTGTGAAGATGCTGGAGGAAACAGGTACAAAAGTATCTATATCCACAGTAAAACGAGTCCTATATCGACAAAACCTGAAAGTCCGCTCAGCAAGGAAGAAGCCACTGCTCCAAAACCGCCATAAAAAAGCCAGACTACGGTTTGCAACTGCACATGGGGACAAAGATCTTACTTTTTGGAGAAATGTCCTCTGGTCTGATAAAACAAAAATATAACTGTTTGGCCATAATGACCATCGTTATGTTTGGAGGAAAAAGGGGGACCTTGCAAGCCGAAGAACAACATCCCAACCGTGAAGCACGTGGGTGGCAGCATCATGCTGTGGGTGTGCTTTGCTGCAGAAGGGACTGGTGCACTTCACAAAATAGATGGCATCATGAGGAAGGAAAATTATGTGGATATATTGAAGCAACATCTCAAGACATCAGTCAGGAAATTAAAGCTTGGTCGCAAATGGGTCTTGCAGATGGACAATGACCCCAAGCATACTTCCAAAGTTGTGGCAAAATGGCTTAAGGACAACAAAGTCAAGGTATTGGAGTGGCCATCACAAAGCCCTGACCTCAATCCTATAGAAAATGTGTGGGCAGAACTGAAAAAGCGTGTGCGAGCAAGGAGGCCTACAAACCTGACTCAGTTACACAAGCTCTGTCAGGAGGAATGGGCCAAAATTCACCAAACTTATCCTGAGTAAATACCTAAGCGCTTTGCATACATTTTCAAGTCTTGTCATAGATTTTCAAGCCGATTTAAGTCAAACTGTAACTAAGCCACTCAGGAACATTCAATGTTGTCTTGGTAAGCAACTCCAGTGTATATTTGGCCTTGTGTTTTAGGTTATTGTCCTGCTGAATGGCAGTTTAGTCTCACAGTGTCGTTGGACTGCAGACTGAACCAGGTTTTCCTCTAGGATTTTGCCTGTGCTTAGCTCTATTCCGTTTATTTTTATCAGAAAACACTCCCTAGTCCTTGCCAATGACAAGCATACCCATAACATGATGCAGCCACCACCATGCTTGAAAATATGAAGAGTGGTACTCAGTGATGTGTTGTGTTGGATTTGCCCAAAACATAATTTTTTGTATTCAGGACATAAAGTTAATTTCTTTGCCACATTTTTTGCAGTTTTACTTTAGTGCCTTATTGCAAAGAGGATGCATGTTTTGGAATATCTTTATTCTGTACAGGCTTCCTTAATTCCACTCTGTCATTTAGGTTAGTATTGTGGAGAACCTACAATGTTGGTGATCCATCCTCAGTTCTCCTACCACAGCCATTAAACTCTAACTTTTAAAGTCACCATTGGCCTGACCGGTTTCCTTGCTCTCGGTACCCTTCTTTGCTAGGCATTGGAAAACCTCCCTGGTCTTTGTGGTTAAATCTGTGTTTGAAAATCACTGCTCGTGTCACGATCGTCGAAGGAAGAGGACCAAGGTGCAGCGTGAAATGCGAACATACTTTATTATCAAAAGTGATAACGCGAACAAAACAATAAACGAATAACGTGACGTCCTAGGTTAAACAACCAACACGGAACAAACCAAAAGGAACAAGATCCCACAACTACTGTGGGAAAACAGCCTGTTTAAATGTGGTTCCCAATCAGAGACAACCAGCAACAGCTGACACTCGTTGCCTCTGATTGAGAACCACTCTGGCCAACATAGAAATACAACAACTAGAACTACAACATAGAACACAAAACCATAGAATCTACACACCCTGGCTCAACATATAGAGTCCCCAGAGCCAGGGTGTGACAGCTCGACTGAGGGACCTTACAGATAATTGTATCCTGAACTTATTTAGGCTTGCCATAACAAAGGGGTTGAATACTTATTGACTCAAGACATTTCAGCTTTTCATTTTTTATTAATTTGTAAACATTTCTAAAAACATAATTCCACTTTGACATTATGTGGTATTGTGTGCACTAAATGTGGAAAAAGTCTAGGGGTGTGAATACTTTCTGAACGCACTGTAATTACAGGCTTGAGGGGTTTGTGCTGTTGACAAACCCCTCCATTTAAAGGTCAACCAAAACATGAGGCATGGTCATTTTCATTTCGCAGGGTTCACAGTTCCTCAATGTTAATATAGGGTTAATTAGGTTTATTGAGAGATATGGTGAAATAGGACTCACACAGGCCACAGAGGTGGAAATCTCACACAGACCGGTTCCCAAGGCAACATGGCGCAACTGGTGGGTGGGGATCCCTGCCGTACGGAACATGTCAAATGAGTAAAGGCACACGTGAAGAGGAGCAGAATGACAGAGTTCATCACTCAGTCAATCAGACATACTGTATCTAACTGAATGAACGTAAGACTCTAGGTAGGTTTTGATCAGAAAGTGACATAACCATGCCATTCTACATTTGTATACCCTTTTGCTCACTCTAACTCTAAACACACTGATCTCATGGATCGACTTCAACCATCAACTCACAGCATTAATGCCACAGAACTGCAGGGTGGTGAAGGTGATGAGGAGGAGTTGCCAGCGTACGGCCTGGTCCAGGATCAGGTCCACCACAGTGTGGCTGCGGACCCCCTTCAGGGAGGCGTGCTCCACCAGCATCTACTCCACCTCCACATTGTGGTCTTTGCTGCCCCACAGCCTGCGAATGGCTACAGGGGGGAAAGGCCCAATAAGATACACAGGTGGAAAAGGACATAAAAGCCCAATAAGATAGCTGAGTCAGGCATAATGATAATGATGATTGTGAGGATGACTATGATAACACTAATTGCAAATACATTTATGGTAAGGTAGTTATCCTTAGGCAACCTGTTACCAATCCATATTCCTCACAGAGCTCCACCCAGGTGCTTACCTTTCTCACTCTGGGAGGAGAGGCAGGGTGGCAGGCTAGAGCAGGGCGGTCGCACCACTGAAGCCCAGCAACCACGGTCACCGTCCTCTGTCCACAATAACTCACTGCAAGGACAGAAGGCTATCACATAGCATCACATAGTGTTCGTTCACCACATGTTAAAATTGTAATAGCATCTCTGACTGATACACTAGAACCAGATAGCTCACCTGATCCCCAGAAGCTGACTTGAGAACTTCCCCATAGACACAAAGGTGGCACAGACACAAACCACCATTCCTCACAGCCTTTAGGGGGTACATTCCATCAGGTACATGGTGTGGAGACTGAGGCTAACACCTGCAGCACATACAGGAAAGGACAAACCACATCATAGACACAGTTTGGAAGCATAATTCCTCTAGTGAGATATTAAAAGACAGGTATAAGATTACCTTGTTTTGTGGCCTACAGTAAAATAATATCAATTCGTAAGATGAAAATCAGCTTACCTGCATTAATGCCATAGAGGAAATGTCCAACAATGATCATCTCAAAGGACATGGCCGTTTTGCTCAACAGCATCATCACAGCACCGTCAATGACAAACAGGTTGTTCAACAACAGGCATCTCTTTCTGGAAAGTCTAGTGGACAAAATCAACATCATTAATGTTCTACTACATCAAATAGTAACCACACCAACACACCTTCAAATAAGAGGCCAAAGGCCTTACATGACCAGGTTTCATTCCCCAAGTCTAGGCCCAGTATGAAGCCTGACACTGTCTACCACTACGCCATGGTCCTTACCAGAGGAGGCTGGTGGGAGGAGCTATAGGATCCTAGGCTCATTGTAATGAGCCTGTCCTCCTATAATGCTCCTCCACCAGCCTCCTCTGGTCCTTACCTCCCATACACTGAGGTGAGGCGGCTGGCACACAGAGACCCCAGATGCAGAAGATGAAGGACCAGATAAGTCACTTAACACTGCTTCAAGGAGATACTATACCGCTGCAGGCATGTGGTGTTCACCAGCTCCTTTATGAACTGCAGTAACACCAAGAGGGTGGCCGTGACGTTATGGAGATTGGGTAGGTCAAACATTTATGGTTCTCAAACTATTTCTAATTTCCCCCAGAATTAATAGAAGTTGTTAGTTTGTTGAGAAAATAGTTATTCAGAGCTATTACACTCATGTTTCCATAAAAATAAGGTAACAATAACTGCACTTGTTTGGCAAAGCCACATTTATCTGTTAATACTGACATGGTGGTGTACTTTTGTAATTTTAATACTTTTGATGTGGATCACAGATGATGATGTCAGGACAGATACACTACATGGCCAAAAGTATGAAGACAACTGCTCATCGAACATCTCATTCCAAAATCATGGGCATTAATATGGAGTTGGTCCCCCCTTTGCTGCCATAACAGCCTCCACTCTTCTGGGAAGACTTTCTACTAGATGTTGGAACATTGATGCAGGGACTTGCTTCCATTCAGCCACAATAGCATTATTGAGGTCGGGCGCTGATGTTGGGCGATTAGGCCTGGCTCGCAGTCAGCGTTCCAACTCATCCCAAAGGTGAGATCATGGTTTTGTGCAGGCCAGTCAAGTTTTTCCACACCGATCTAGACAAACCATTTCTGTATGGACCTCACTTGTGCACAGGGGCATTGTCATGCTGAAACAGGAAAGGGCCTTCCCCAAAATGTTGCCACAAAGTTGGAAGATTGTCATTGTATGCTGTAGCGTTAAGATTTCCCTTCACTGGAACTAAGGGGCTAGCCCAAATCATGAAAAACAACCCCAGACCATTATTCCTCCACCACCAAACTTTACAGATAGTACTATGCATTCGGGCATCCGCCAAACCCAGATTCGTCCGTCCGTATTTTAAATAACAATAAATAATCCCACAGCACAGCAGCATCCCCCCCTTACTAGCGGCCTTTGCTGATAGCTACTTTATTGAGAAAAAATTTGCTTACTATGTGGTATTTGGCTGTCCCACCTAGCTATCTTAAGATGATCGCTCTAACTGTAAATCACTCTGGATAAGTGTCTGCTAAATGATTAAAATGTCCAAATAAAATAAAAATGGCACTAGCAATTAAAACTTACAAACACACACAGGAGTGTCAAGGCATGTGACATACTGTATGTAGCTAGTCCCTGGTTCAATTAAATGCCTTGCATTGGGGCAAATGTGACAAACAAAATAAAGATGTCTAACTGAAACTGGTTAAATGTTAACTTATACAGCTGAAATTAGTAACCAAAAGGATCAAACATCAAAGCAAGCACACCTGTGCCCTTATAAAAACAAATGCACATCCTTGTAGGGAAGAATAAGATCCAACTTCGTATGTGCATCCTGCAATGTCAAGTGGTATCTGGAAAGAGATTCTTACACATTGCACACAATTGACATTAATATAACAATTGATCCAAAATTATTATTTACAAAAATATTTATTGCCTTTCTACCAATATTAAACATTGTTGTTATGGACAAAGTCACATTGATCTTCATGTGGATGATACAATTAAAATGAGCAAATACAACAACATTTGAATAAAAAAAGATGTATGAACGAAACTACATTCAAATACTAACCCCCGCCCACCCCAAAAAATAGTTATTCACCAGGCACATACACGTTTTGACAACTATTCTCCACAGAATGATTTGTTTTATTTTCACCCCTCCCTCAGTCAATATGATAGATCATGCTGGAGACCGAGGACAACTCAATGTCTTAAGATCAAGCTCAATGACAACCCCCCTTTCTCCATCTCTGCTCCTTTCACAGCAGGACGTAGCGTGTGATACCTCCCCCTCGCTGTTCTCGCAGACGCTGGCAGTGACGCAGCATGTTAAGGATGCCCTGGAAGCGCTTGTCCACCTTCATCTGAGTGAACTCTTTAATGTCCGCCTCTACAATGAAAAACAGACCTGTAGGGAACACAGAGGAGTAGTGAAATGGGAAGTTTTTCTTAAAGATCAGCTTTAATACTGCAGATATATTGTAACTTCCGTCAATGTAATTGTCTGCATCACTTTCAATCCCCCATATGTTTTATATTTTATTTATTTTTTGCATATACACAAATACACACACAGTACCAGTCAAATGTTTGGACACACCTACTCATTCAAGGGTTTCTTTATTTTTACTATTTTCTACATTGTAGAATAATAGTGAAGACATCAAAACTATGAAATAACACATATTGAATAAACAAAAAAAAAGTGATAAATCAAAATACAGTTTATATTTGACATGCTTCAAATAGCCACCCTTTGCCTTGATGACAGCTTTGCACACTCTTGGCATTCTCTCAACCAGCTTCACTTGTAATGCTTTTCCAACAGTCTTGAAGGAGTTCCCACATTTGCTAAGCACTTGTTGGCTGCTTTTCCTTCACTCTGCGGTCCGACTCAGCCCAAACCATCTCAATTGGGTTGAGGTCGGGGGATTGTGGAGGCCAGGTCATCTGATGGAGCACTCCATCACGCTCCTTCTTGGTAAAATAGCCCTTACACAGCCTGGAGGTGTGTTGGGTCATTGTCCTGTTGAAAAACAAATGATAGTCCCACTAAGCCCAAACCAGATGGTATGGCGTATCGCTGCAGAATGCTGTGGTAGCCATGCTGGTTAAGTGTGCCTTGAATTCTAAATACTGTATATCACAGACAGTGTCACCAGCAAAGCAGCCCGAAACCATAACACCTCCTCCTCCATGCTTTACAGTGAGAACTACACATGCAGAGAACATCTGTTCTCCCACACCGCATCTCACAAAGACACAGTGGTTGGAACCAAAAATCTCCAATTTGGACTCCAGACCAAAAGACACATTTCCACCAGTCTAATGTCCATTGCTCGTGTTTCTTGGCCCAAGCAAGTCTCTTCTTCTTATTGGTGTCCTTTAGTAGTGTTTTCTTCGCAGCAATTTGACCATGAAGGCCTGATTCACACAGCCCCTCTGAACAGTTGATGTTGAGATGTGTCTGTGACTTGAACTCTGTGAAGCATTTATTTGGTCTGCAATTTCTGAGGCTGGTAACTAATGAACTTATGCTCTGCAGCAGAGGTAACTCTGGGTCTTCCATTCCTGTGGCGGTCCTCATGAGAGCCAGTTTCATCATAGCGCTTGATGGTTTTTGTGACTGCACTTGAAGAAACAATGTTCTGCATTGACTGATCTTCATGTCTTAAAGTAATGGACTGTCGTTTCTCTTTGCTTATTTGAGCTGTTCTTGCCATAATATGGACACAAATTAACTTTTAACAAGGCACACATGTTAATTGAAATGCATTCCAGGTGACTACCTCATGAAGCAGTTTGAGAGAATGCCAAGAGTGTGCAAAGCTGTCATCAAGGCAAAGGGTGGCTATTTGAAGAATCTCAAATATATTTTGATTTGTTTAACACTTTTTTTTGTTACTACATGATTCCATAGTTGAGGTCTTCACTATTATTCTACAATGTAAAAAATAGTAAAAATAAAAATCCTTGAATGAGTAGGTGTGTCCAAACTTGACTGGTAGTGTATACATATCCTTTAAACATTTTTTATTTTCATTTATTATTTTCCAACCCCACCACCCCTCCCTTAATTGGAGTAAACTACTGAACAACAACGCATATGCCTCTACTTCCAGCTTGTACATACTATATACATTTTATGGACACAGTCAAAGTTTGTTTTTACTCCAGAACTTCCTCGCCCCTCAACCTCTCAGATCATTTTCATGATGTCCATCTGGTTTGCCTCTACATGCCATATCCCCCAAACTGTGCTCTTTCATAAAAGTTCTCAACCTATATACTTATTATGGACACAGTATGTTTTACATGAGTTATTTTGTTGTTATTAGTCCCAACCTTCAGCTCCATTCAACCCCTCCCATCTATCTCTTAACACCATCCATATTGGATTTCTACTTCTCAACTGTACTGTTTCACAAAAGTTCTGAACCCTTCTATTCTCATTGTTTCTACAGATTGTAAATTGAAAATAAACATTTTTGCTAAAAGTTTTATTATATTATTGATCGATTGACTATGACTTTTCAGATCACCAAGTAGTGCTATCTTCAAGGTTAGCTCCAGGTAAATATTGCAATCCTTCAGCAATTCCTGGACCTGTGACCAAAAACAAGCTACAAATGGACAGTACCAAAACAAATGACCTAATGATTAAGTCTCTTCACAGCTAAATCTGCAGAGCTGGGAAGATTGTATCCCCCATATAAATAACATTATATTGGTTGCAAGACTTTTGTGAGATGGGAAGTTAGTTTGTTTCCATTAGTATGCAGGTGGCCATCCTTGACCAAATATTGTCATAACAATACCATCTGGGTCAGAGAAGATAATTACTCTTTGCAATGATCAACCTTTTGTGCGTCAAAGGAAAGCAAAGCACATAGCCTTCTTTAGAACAGTAGTTTGACTGAGGTACCTTTAGAACAGTAGTTTGACTGAGGTACCTTTAGTGTCCTTGTTCTCTTCCTCCTTAAATCGTTGATGAAGCTTGCGTGTGGCATTATTCAGGGTTTTTGCTGGCTGGTGCAAGATCTTGTACTTCCCTGTTACGGCTGTGTTAATGCTTTCCACAGCAGTGTTTAGCTGGTCATATGTCAAACGGCCTTTCATGTACCTAGAGAGAGAGTGTTACAGAAGAAAGATATCTTACAATAACAATTTTTTTAAACGGATAAAACTGCCAGATCTGCAGTAACATCTTAAATAAATAAAGCTGCAATGCAGTATGTGGACGGAGTGCTGCTGAGGGGGACTAACTGAGGAATGGTATCAAACTCTGGGCTGGTGATGAATTCCATCTCTCTGATCTGGTTCTTGGAGGTTTTCCTGGGGTGCTCCTGCTGGACTGGCTGCACATCCACAGGTCCACTCTGACCCACAGGCCCTCTTCCACTGGGATATCAATGGAGGGGCAAAATAGAGGACAACACATTTACTCTGTTTGCACTCAGTAGCTTCTCCTCTTATGACATCCTCCAACACACACAGTCACACACACGCTATCCTTACTGGACTGCTGGCTGTCCCTTCCTGGGCATGTGTGTGGGCATGTTGTCCCTAAGGTGCTTTCCATCCTGCACATCCTCCTGGAAGAACCCCTCTAGTTCCTGTGACACAAATAACAGATTTCACACAGACATACAGTACAAATAGCATACTTAAAGATATTGCAATCCAGACAAGCTAAAAGGACCCATCTAAAAATGCATTGTGAGGAATGCATGAAATACCTTTAAATGCTTCAGTAGATCTTTTTGGCGGCCAACACATTTCTCAAACTGGTCAAGGAGTCCATCTATTGCAAGGACATCTTGTCCTATCTTCCCTAGAATGATCCGCTTGTCTTGATCTTTTGCTGAAAATGGGGAATAAATCATGATAAGTTTAAATTATGTTATGCATTACCTGATGTCAGAAAACCATTGAGTTACTGTTTGATCGGGTGGGATCATTTCTCTGTTAGCTGAAACAGTGTTTAACTACATGAGATAACAAGCCCTATATATACACCAGATCATCATACCAATTGTCCGCAGCTCCAAGACCCGTCTTGTGGATGAAATCCTGTCATTCAAGTGCATGGTTATATCCTCAAGCTCACAATGACTCATATTGCTGAAAAATAAGATGGTAAAGGCCCAGCTGTTCAATAAAATTAAAAAGGGCACAGGCTGGAAGATTTCCTGCGGTTCAGTCAATGTTCATTTTGACATACAGTACCAGTCAAAAGTTTCGACACACCTACTCATTCAAGGGTTTTTCTTTATTTTTACTATTTTTTACATTGTAGAATAATAGTGAAGACATCAAAACTATGAAATAACACATATGGAATCATGTAGTAAACAAAAAAGTATTAAACAAATCAAAATATATTTGATATTTGAGATTCTTCAAATAGCCACCCTTTGCCTTGATAACCGCTTTGCACACACTTGGCATTCTCTCAACCAGCTTAACTTGTAATGCTTTTCCAACAGTCTTGAAGGAGTTCCCACATATGCTGAGCACTTGTTGGCTGCTTTTCCTTCACTCTGCGGTCCGACTCATCCAAAAACCATCTAAATTGGGTTGAGGTCGGGGGATTGTGGAGGCCAGGTCATCTGATGCAGCACTCCATCACTCTCCTTCTTGGTAAAATAGCCCTTACACAGCCTGGAGGTGTGTTGGGTCATTGTCCTGTTGAAAAACAAATGATAGTCCCACTAAGCCCAAACCAGATAGGATGGCGTATCGCTGTAGAATGCTGTGGTAGCCATGCTGGTTAAGTGTGCCTTGAATTCTAAATAAATCACAGTGTCACCAGCAAAGCACCCCCACACCATAACACCTCCTCCTCCATGCTTTACAGTGGGAAATACACATGCGGAGATCATCCATTCACCCACACCGTGTCTCACAAAGACACAGCAGTTGGAACCAAAAATCTCAAATTTGGACTCCAGTCCAAAGAACACATTTCCACAGGTCTAATGTCCATTGCTCGTGTTTCTTGGCCCAAGCAAGTCTCTTCTTATTGGTGTCCTTTAGTAGTGGCTTCTTGCAGCAATTCGACCATTAAGGCCTGATTCACACAGTCCCCTCTGAACAGTTGATGTTGAGATGTGTCCGTTACTTGAACTCTGAAGCATTTATTTGGGCTGCAATTTCTGAGGCTGGTAACTCTAATGAATTTATCCTCTGCAGCAGAGGTAACTCTTGGTCTTCCATTCATGTGGTGGTACTCATGAAGCCAGTTTCATCATAGCGCTTGATGGTTTTTGCGACTGCATTTGAAGAAACGTTCAAAGTTCTTGACATTTTCAGGATTGACCGACCATGTCTTAAAGTAATGATGGACTGTCATTTCTCTTTGCTTATTTGAGCTGTTCTTGCCATAATATGGACTTGGTCTTTTACCAAATAGGGCCATCTTCTGTATACCCCCCGTACCTTGTCATAACACAACTGATTGGCTCAAACACATTAAGGAGGAAAGAAATTCCACAAATTAACTTTTAAGAAGGCACACCTGTTAATTGAAATGCATTCCAGGTGACTACCTCATGAAGCTGGTTGAGAGAATGCTCAAGAGTGTGCAAAGCTGTCATCAAGGCAAAGGGTGGCTACTTAGAAGAACCTCAAATATATATATTTTTTGTCATTTAGCAGACGCTCTTAGAGCGACTTACAGGATCAATTAGGGTTAAGTGCCTTGCTCAAGTGCACAGACAGATTTTTCACCTAGTCGGCTCGGGGATTAGAACCAGCGACCTTTCGGTTACTGGTACAACGCTCTTAACCACTAAGCTACCTGCCGCCACAGGTGGCACACCTTTTTTGGTTACTACATGATTCCATATGTGTTATTTCATAGTTTTAATGTCTTCACTATTATTCTACAATGTAGAAAATAGTTAAAATAAAGAAACACCCTTGAATGAGTAGGTGTCCAAACTTTTGACTGGTACTGTATATGAATCTTGAATAAAGCCTAAATGCCCCATGGGCTTATTAAATGTCTTCCACTATCATAACCCAAAATATAACGGTTGATTACACCATTGTTTGTTTTTGTTGTCGCTTGATGTCTTTTGTCTCAAGAAAATAATGCTTCAGGAAAACAATGCCGTTCTAAAAACGTTGCAAGTAACAAAGTTGCCAATAAAGAACGCATATGAAGCTTTGACTCTTACACTTGTGTGCGTTCAACATTCTTACAGTAGCTAGTTATATGCAACGTTTTTGGAACAAGACTAGTTAGGAAGTGAAAATACATAATCAACCTCCTAGACTGTCAAGCCTATCCAGCTCAATCTATAAATGTCGAGAGTAGCTGGCTGCATTCAACCACATTCACAACGATGGCTAGCTAGCTAAATTAGTTAACGTTAACTAACTAGCTAGTTAGCTAGCTTATCTGAATCCACACTGGCTCACTGTGCGGTTAGTCAAAAACACGTCCTGACAGTAACATAGAGAGTAACTTACATAAAGTTATCAATTCGTAGTTGCCTTTGTTTCCGAGATGGCTAATGTCCTGTCTGTTGTTTTCTTCAACCTCCCTCGCGCCAGAACGATTCGAATCTTCCCGCTGTTTTCAGAATGATCATCGCTGCAATAAAGTTGCGCAGCCAACCAGACTGAATGCCCTGCCAATCTTTAAAACAGTAACATTTTCTCTCAGACTCATGGCAACATTTGTAGAATAGCATGAGATTGGCTATAAATCTGCAAATGTTCTCCCTGCCCCATAGCAAAATGTGTAGAATTGCAGTAATTGTTTTCCTAAAACTAAATGTTTTCCTAAATTGTTTTAAATAATTGACCTAGCGTGGGGGTCTTGCGAAACTGCGGTACGCCACTGTATCCATGGCTCTGAATACCCTGGCAATCAACAACCGTGAGGACCCCTCAAGACGAATGGATAAATCCTCACAGCCCCAGTGATGCCTTTCAGAAGACGGAAAAAATGGTGGAAGTGGATGCTGAGTTCGAATCAAGCAGTGCGTCGAGCAAAGTTGGTGAAGACGAATGTTCTGAATGGACAACAGTAGTAGCGGAAACTGGAACAAAAAGGAAATTGTCTAAAATTGGAGTGGAGGATACATGTATGAATGATAATGAATTGCTTCTTGTTGGGATGCGTTTGAGTAAGGATGCATATGTGGGAAACCCGTTTGAGGTGTTGAAAATGGTGAAGAAAACAAGTTATGCTAGTGAAGATATGGTAGGGGATGCACCACAGCCTGTAGTAAAAGTTTGCTGCCAGTCAAAACATACCCTGTGTGTTAAAAAGGTGGATTTTGTGGCATTCATTACCACAGTAATTTTTTATTTTTTAGTCATTTAGCAGATGTTCTTATCCAGAGCGACTTACAGTTAGTGAGTGCATACATTTTCATACTGGCCCCCCGTGGGAAACGAACCCACAACCCTGGCGTTGCAAGCGCCATGCTCTACCAACTGAGCTACAGTTATAAACTGTAAGGCACAAGTCTCAAAGAAGTCTAAGAAACTGGACATTGTTGTGGCTGCGGCCGAAAGGTTTTTGGGACTTAAGAATTTTACATCTGAAGACTTGCAAGGGGTACTGGCGCCGGAAGACCCGCCCTCCCAAGTTCCCTTTGAGCCTGTGTAGGGATCAGATCTGTTTTATTTTTTAACAGAAAAGTTGTTTAGTTTATTTATAAATGTTTTGGTAGTTTGGTTGCTTTGGAAACAGGATGGAAACAGGATTAAATTTTTGGGAATCCTGTTTCCATCCCGCACAGTAGGTGGCGGGATGCACATTAAATTGTGTGATCGCTAAGATACCATAGAAGAAGAAGAAGATGATGCCATCAGAAGGGAGGCCATGTCCTCTGGAATTGAGTCCTCATCTTGTGACAAATTAAATGCATCTAGTTTTAGCCCGTAAAATCTATAATCAACTGTCAGTGAATATGTTCATTGGCAGGCTATATGAAAATGAATGCTGTTGTGTTGGTATGAGCATGCGAGGTACAGTATATTTTGGTTCATGTGAGAGTAAGGTGGGGGCAGTGAGCTCACTGTCCTGGGACTGAGGCAGTCATGTCCTGCTCCATTTTGAGTTTCTTCTGTCTGATGCGGAGCATATTGTCCTCTACAGATTCCTTAATGATCAGCTTGATCACTTTCACAGTCATGCAAAATTAAGATGACATTTTACTACTGGGCATATACACTCATATCTAGTGTATGAGCAACACAAGTTCAAAGGAAGCACACAAAAAAGCACATGGGTATAGCGGGTAACATTAGCAAAATGCTTGTGTGTAAACAGTTTCCCCCTCCTCACTGACCTTATCTGTCCGACGCAGTGACAGCGGTCCTCTGCCTGCCTATCATTGTAGGGGTTGCAATCGATGTCATGCAAGATGACCACATTGGCTGAGGTCAGGTTGATGTCCAGGCACCCAGCCTTAGTAGACATCAAGAACACAAAGATGTCCAGCTCTGTGTTGCACTGGTCAATCAGCATAATTCTACAAGAGGATGGGAGAGACTTGGAGCTAAATAATCAGTTTGCTATTCCCCCCCCCCCCATTGACATAAAGAGATTTATATTAATAAGAAATATTAATTTTTGTAAATGTTTTTGTGATTAACAGTTTAATTTGCATAATGTCCAGAGTCCCTGACTGTGACCATTTTCAGTCCAAACTACTTGTCAATCCATTCCTAAATGACAAATGCCTGTCATATACTATTCGGGGATAAATTAACAGCTCAATGAAACATAACTAATTTGATATATAGTTTCTAAACAAGTACAGCCTCTGCTATAGGCACTCAATGAACATAATAGTAAGTTAAGTCTGGTAAAACATTATTTGCCTTGCAGATGTAGGGACAGAGTACAACGTCCTTGATTCATCAGACAATTCCTACCTGTCAAACATGGGCATTGACCCATCCAATCGAATGTAGCGATGCTTCACGTGCTTCAGGAAAACCTCTAGAATGTCCAGCATCATGGTGAACTGACTGAAGAGCACCACTCTATCCCCCTGACAGAGAAACACAGTCACTGTGATTAATGACTACAGGACTGGAGGGATCAGAGAGAAATGTGGTTGACTGCATGTTGGAAGAGGGAAAGCCAAGGAAAGAGTGATTGTAATTGAGAGCAGGGAAGCGATGAAGTGTCTGACAAAGGTAGAGGAATGGGGAATAAAAGGGTGACTGGTTTTATGGGGGAGAAGAAACCCCCAGGGAGATGGAGATGGCTATAGCTGGGTCATTACGGGTGAGGCATACTAGTGCATAATAAAGACGCTGTCTCCATTTGTTCAACTTCCACTCCACTTTCACACCTGCTTTTTGAGAGAGGTCAGAAGCTGTGTGAGCAGGCTGAGTTTTCCTGAGTCCAGGAACATGTCTGTGTTCAGCTGATAGTCTTGTACAGATGGGTACTGCAGACAGAGCCGGTGCAGCTCAAAGTCTGTCATGACCTCCATATCCTCCTTGATCTGCGTCACGGTGGGTCGGCTCCTGATGGGGCCAAGAGTCAAAGCAATCACAGACTGACCACAATACACACTGTAATACCCTTAGCTTCCAGCAGCCCCATCAACAGCAGTTGCTGTAGTGGTAACAGTAGACGAAACAGCAGTAGCTGTCATATTAGTGGTAGTGGAAGTAGAGCTGGCAATAGCAGTTACAAATGTGTTCAATAACTGTAATTATCTTAAAACACCAGTAAGTGTTCAGGTCTGACCTTGAGCATGAGTCGACTCATAGCAGCCAGTTTAGTAGTGGTGTAATGCTGCCCGTGCAGCAGTGGATGATTGGCCATCTTCCTCAACTGCATCATCCCATTTAGTCAGTTCTCTCTCTCTCTGAGGAGGACACATGGGCACATGATATGGTCTTAAATCAGTTAATCTGTGCATCCTAAAATTCTACATGTTTTGCTTTTTAGTATTCTCTTAAGCCTATCATCACTTTTCAAATGACCAAGATACCTTTCTCTCATTCTTCCTCTCCCTAACATACTCTCTCCATTGGTGGATCCCTTGAGCTTCTGCATCAAGGTGTTGTAGAGCTGCTGCTTCTTGTCACTCATGGCACAGAATGTTGGTCATACACTACACAACTTCTAAAATCTTAACAACTTCGACGTGCTCACATTTCCCGATTTCCTTGTCCTAAATCTTTCATTCCGTCCATCCTCAACCCCAGGACGTGGGTGCTCACAATACACAATGATTCCCTAGTTGATCCTGCCATGCTTTTCTCGGGTTGTAGGGGGGAAATGCTGACGTGAACAGTGAGCTGCTTTATTAGTGTACACATTATTATGTGCAGAAACATCAAAAAAGAGACGGAGGTGCAGAATATGGACTAATAATGATAATATGAAATTATCTTTTTGTTTTCATTCATGGTAGGATGTAATATTGGTGGAGTTTGTTTTGGATGGCCTGGTGGCCCGGGTGGGTGGAGATTTCACTTAAGGACTATGGTCTAAAATGTGCAAACTCCACCCATCTGGGGCACCGCGGGCCATGTAAAACGAACTCGCCCCATTGAAGGTAGCAGCGTTCTCTCCACAGCTCCACTAATCTGTCTTCCATCACCTCGGTCCACAGGGTGCGTGTTGTTGTTGCTCTCCTCTTCGGCATCATTGTTTTGGTCTCACATGCTGAGTGCTCATTGGCAGCAGTCCTTGCCCAATCGTGTCGTAGCACTGCTCACACCACAAGCTGCACGACCCACATTTCTGACGTGAGAAAATTATCGGGACATCCGACAGGGGTCTGATGAATGGAACAGCCATCATCGTTGCGTCCTTGATCCGCTCAAACGTCCAGACGTACTGATCCTAGCCCAAGTTCATAGGATTTCACACTGATCATGAACCTTCATATAGTGTGCATCATGTGATATCACTGTCCCAATGCCATAACCATATCAGGTAATGAGTTTAGACCAAGCTGTTCCGTACCTTACTCTTGACATGTCTGATGATGAAGGGTTTCATGATAAGTTTGGCATGAGCGATCCTCTCCATCTCAAAGCTGCTCCTCTGAAGATTTCTGACAGGAAATAAAGATTGTTGGATGAGTCAAACTTGCTGTGTATTAAGCTTAATATTTTGGAGTGATCCCATATCATGCGTTCTAGCCTCACCATGGCGCAGTGGTCTAAGGCACTGCATCTCAGTGCTTGAGGCGTCACTACAGACCCCCTGGTTCGATTCCAGGCTGTATCACAACCGGCCGTGATTGGGAGTCCCATAGGGCGGCGCACAATTGGCCCAGCGTTGTCCGGGTTTGGCCGGTGTAGGCCGTCATTGTAAATAAGATTTTGTTCTTAACTGACTTGCCTAGTTAAATAAAGGTAAAATATAAAAAATATAAAAAACATGTTGGCGAGCTGTGCAGTGCTGCTGGAGAACATATTGGGCATGATGAAGTTGAGCAGGAACATGAGCTCCAGGAGGTTGTTCTCCACTGGGGTCCCAGTCAGTAGCAGACGGTACTTGGCCTGAGATCAAATCAAAATCAAATCTGATTAGACTTATATAGTGCATACCATGCAGCACTTTACAAAAGGTGTCAGAATACACTGCAGTGAAAAGGAAGAAAGAGGGGTGACTCACAGGAGATAAACAAGACATTGTTCAGGCAGGAAGAAGAACAGTTTAGAGGCAAAGGCAAACACTTATCTTAAAATTATTATCACACCAAATCAATAATGGCTGTTATCAAAGATTGTCTATTATATTAGCAAGACATAGGAGCTGATCGTGGACTACAGGAAACGGAGGGCCGAGCACGCCCCCACTCACATCGACGGGGCTGTAGTGGAGCGGGTCAAGAGCTTCAAGTTCCTCAGTGTCCACATCACTAAGGATCTATCATGGTCCACACACAACATCAGAGTCATGAAGAGGGCACGACAACACATCTTCCCCCTCAGGAGGCTGAAAATATTTGGCATGGGCCCTCAGATCCTCAATTTGTTCTACAGCTGCACCATTGAGAGCATCTTGACTGGCTGCATCACCGCTTGGTATGGCAACTGCTTGGCATCCCACCGCAAGGCGCTACAGAGGGTAGTGCGTACGGCCCAGTACATCACTGGGGCCGAGCTCCCTGCCATCCAGGACCTCTATACCAGGCGGTGTCAGAGGAAGGCCCGAAAAATTGTCAGACTCCAGCCACCCAAGTCATTGACTGTTCTCTCTGCTACCACATGGCAAGCGGTACCGATGCACCAAGTCTGGAACCAACAGGACCCTGAACAGCTTCTACCACCAAGCTATAAGACTGCTAAATTGTTAGTTAAATAGTTAACCAAATAGCTACCCAGACTATCTGCATTGTCCCTTTTTGCACTAATTTTATTTGACTCATTTGCTACTGTTTATGATCTATTCTGTTGCCTAGTCACTTTTTCCCTAGTTGTATGTACATATCTACCTTAATTACATCGTACCACTGCACATTGACTCGGTACTGGTAACCCGTGTATATAGCCAAGTTATCGTCACTGATTCTGTATTTATTATTACATGTTTTACTTTTCTATTATTTCTCTATTCTCTCTCTCTTTGCATTGTTGGGAAGGGCCCGTAAGTAAGCACTTCACTGTTAGTCTACACCTGTTGTTTACGAAGCATGTGACAAATAAAATGTGATTTGATTGACAAGATATTCGAGTGAGCACGCTAACAATGGAAATATATGTCCTCAAAGATGGAAGGCAGGTGGGAGGAGGCGAGATCAGGTGGGAGTCGGACCATTCTAGACAATGAGAAGGCAGATACGCATGTGAACAAGAGGCCATACAGATAGAGGACTCATCTTTGTATCTGTGCCATTATAGCATCTGTGACAGCATGGGCAGCGCCATTGAGGCTATCTTCATTTTAAAATAGTACATTTTCTTCTTCTTCATTGGCTGATTGCTCCCAACTCATAGGAATCCCCACCCAGTTGACTACTTTAAAATGGTGGAAGCCCTCAATGTCAATGTCCATGCTAAAACAGATTATATCCATGATGAGTCCTCTATCGCTCTCTATGACAACAGGCACAACTCCAATATAACTTTTGGCCGAAATGCCACATGATCCACTTATATCAGTGCATTCGTAAAAACCTAACTATTATGAAACTTCTATTTGATCAAATAAGCCTCACGTAGCAAATTAGCAATTCAATGTTTTGTTTACCAATTTTGACACTTTCTCATTGACCCCCATACAAAAATCCCTCATTTCGTGGGTTTATTTTCGTGGACAGATTTTGGGCGGAGTAAAACCTATCACTTTGCCTCTTCCTCTCTGCTGTTTCAACCAAGGTGACCAATGAAAGCCCCCTCCCCACCCCCCGGTGCCCCCTGCAATGTACTGACGTTGATGGCCATGAGGTGGCACTAGCGCAGCGAGCTCATGTTCTTCAGCTCATGCTCGGCATACTCCAGCTTGAGCTTTCGGAACAGGCTGCGGTCGTTGTCATTGCCGATGGTCAGAGCGTAGCTGGCAGACACACAGCAGCTCAAGGAGCCACACAAGGTTCCCACAAGTAGTCTGTGAGGCATGGCAACCACTTGATTACCATGAATAATGAATGAGTCACAGGTTCAGCTTACAAAGACCTTTTCAGGTTCAGTCAAACACTGAATATATTATCATTATTGGAGTGTTAGCAGAAGCCTGGCTGGGGTGACTTACACGGCGGATAGTTTTACAAGATCTCCACTAATTCCACTGGATATTTCCAGAGGCTAAGTGTCTCGCTCAGAAGACACACAGCAGTTAGCTAACACAGTAGGATGTGAACCTGTATACTACTAGACTCAAGTGTACTTCTCTCTATTGTCATTCTTGCATAACCGTAATTCTTAGATTTGAGACTTACGTGGAAATTATTATGTTGTAGTCGACCCGTTTGTTGAGAATATCATATTGAAGGAACCTGCGATCCTCCACAGACCCTAAACACACACACACAAATGTGATATAAATAGGACAATATATTAGAATCTATATTTGGTAATCCTTTCACTTCTGGTGACTTAAACCAACAGGTTGAAATCTGTATAATCAAATAAATGTGAAGCCTTAACCATGATGGCTACAGTATGATGTGTCACGCCATTCAGAATGAACAGAAGAGTCACTCACTATAGTACACCAGAGTCTGTTAAAAAACTAGGACAGGCACAATTACCGTATAACCGACGATTGTGGATGAAGACCATCATCAAAAATAAAATAACCGCCATAACGTTGTTTTTTTTGTGGAACGAACAGCTGACTGAAGACAGGACAGCCGGGCATTCGTGCAGTTGAGTCTGTTTCCACGGTAACATGGACTCTTTAGAATGTGATGAAACTTTGTTGTTCCTTGCTGAAACAAGGAAACAGGAAAGAAATGGCCTAGATGGTCTTCCCCCAAACCCTGCCAACAGAAGACAGGAGGTGGTTCATTATAAACACTGATTTACAGAGACTGAATTGGCACAACAAAAAGAGAGCCCCACTTCCCAATCACATTAACACAGGATTGCATCTGTTGTCATGCCATGTGTGCTGAGTCTCAGAGGAGCTGAGATAAGCTGTTGGAGACTGGTCAGGAATAACAACTCACCATTTCATCAGCAAGGATTCCACTCAGGTTGTTCTGGTGTAGCAGAGTCAGACAATTTTGACCAATTAGCTGATAAAGCTCCAACTGGAACCTGGAGAGGTCAAAGTAACACAAGGATGTGTGTGTGCGTTCAAGACTGCCTATGTACATGTATGAGATTGTGTTTGTCTACGAAAATCACAACTATCTGAATACGTATATCAGTGAGGTTAGTATAAAAACAGCAGCTAAACCCACTTGCTGATGAGGATCTCAGGCTGTTTCTGGGACCCCTTATCCCTCTCCACTACTTGGGTCACGTCCTGCCTCATCTTGTTGGTGATGTTCTCACACTTGGTCAAGAGGCTGCGCACCACGTCCTGTTTCCACAGGACCACACAACAGCCCTGCACCAGGTCAGTGGAGAGGCCATTCCCTCCGTCGAGAACAGTCACCTGGGGGTACACACACACTTTAGACCAATTAGCTGGTAAGGCTTCAACTGGAACTTGGAGAGGTCATAGTAACATAGGGAATTCAGTAATGAATCATGAGGAAAAGAAAACTGTGTGTGTGTGTGTGTGTGTGTGTGTGTTCACACAGGTTTGTTGTGCCACTCACCAGATCCTCCCATTTGTTAAATGGGCGCAGCGCGACAATCCTCTGGGCCTTCTTCACAGAGCAGCCAGAGATGAGAGACAGCTCGTCTGGCGATGCCTCCTGAAAGAACCTGAGGATCTGGCCCTTCACATACCCTGTTCCAACCTCCAGATCTGAGCCTCCTCCAAGTTCAGCTCCATGCCCTCAGCAGACTCATCAAAGTCATCACTAGCCTCGTCCTCAGAGCTGGTGCCTGGCTCTGGAATCACCCTCCTCCTTTTGTCTGCTCCTTCGGTCAGCCTATTGACGGTCTTAATTATGGTCCCATTGGTAGGCTTGTAAGGTAGTGATGGGGACTGACCAGGGGGTTTGGCTGCTGGGGCTGCCTGGCATGCTGAGGTTTATGGGGAAGAACTAGCTGATGATGATGCCTGGGTGTCCTCTTGACTGGACCTCTCCCCTAAGGGAGGAAACAGAATCAGTCTACAGGACCTGGGAGGGACGTTTGGCTACCTATTTATTTTTCTCAAATAAATAAAATTGATGCTATTATTTTAACACAGGAAACTATAGGGCTACAAGACAGCAAGGGACTTAACTAGCTACCTAAAATAATGTACATGTTTTTATTTTGTATAAACAGGCACACGTAACAGACACACACAACTCTCACCCTCCTCTGAAAACATGTGCAGTGCTTCTAGGGTTTCCTCAAAGTGCCAACCATGCTCCAGAAGTGGTCCTCTAAGCTCCTGTGTGCATGCAGGATAAGACAAATAGATACAGTTGTAAACAAAAACCATACCTTTTTGTCAAAGGAATTATTAATATGCAGCTCCAACATTTAAAATATTTTTGTTCACATTTGCCAACATTTAGGGCATTGATGAATGTGTTGTGGAACTGCAGTGACAGAGAACACAGGGCCTGTAGAGTGGGATTCTACAGACGATGGAAGCCTCACCTCCTTGACCAGACGGGGAACTTAGTCTGCAGTTTCCTCACCATGTCCTTCTGGCTCTTCCACCTGGGCTCTGGACACTCGTCCTCAGAATCATCTGTCTGGTAGGACAAAAACACACTGGCGCGTGAAGTCCTAAGGCAGACGCCAATTAGAGTGTGAGCTCCTCCGCACGCAAGCCTACCCCTCTGTACTGGAGATGACAAATAACAAATGAACAAGTAGGGTGGCAGTATATCATCTTGGTCAGGGAAATAAACTGGTAACCTGGAGGTCAAAACTCCAGGTGGGGCACACGGCTCTTGTGCCCTTGAGCGGGGCACTTTAGCCAAATTACTTCAGGAAATCTCCAGCTTAACACAGATGACTCACATGTCAGGTGTAAACAGAGTATGCACCCCCACCCTGGTTTGGGGGTGTCATGGAGGCTGGAGGAGGGAGGAGGGATTGGAGTGCAGTCAGGTGAACTCTAGGACCGGGACGATACCAGTATTGTAATATAGTATTGCAAACAACATAATGATGTTTGTTTCCAACATTAGGGCTGTTTTCCTAAAGAAGTTAAATCCGCTTCGTGTTTTGTTTCCTTGCCAAGATACTAATGAGTATCGCGATCCTGGTATCGTCCCGGCCCTAGTGGACTCACCACTAAATCTTCCTGGAGGGCTGGTTTCTTGCTAGAGTTGGATGCCCCACTCTCCTGGGAGCTGTCACACACCTCTAGTCTCCTCTTACAGACTGGGTCTAAACCAGGACATTAAGGGGGGCATATTAACACACTGTCTCTAGTTTGTGTTGCTAGGAGTAGAAACCCCAGAGATGAATTAAAGATGAATTGCACTTAATTGCACTTATCTCAGTTAAACATATCTTTCATGTTCACGTTTCACTAACTTATTGACTTCCATGTCACAGAGCAGGCCACAGGACATGACACAGCAGATTCCATTCGATTCAATAGCATTGATCAAAGAAAACATGAGCCTTGGTAAATAAATCATTCTAAAAATGTCCTCAAAATCTTGATTAGTGTGTAATGTGTATGGCATCAGTACATCCACCTGCCTAGTACATCACAGGGGTGACAGATACATGCCTTGTGTTGAAGGCACGCTGCAGGTAAGATGGATGGAGCTATGTGACCTGTGAACTCTTGTAGAATCTTGATATACAAGTGATTTCCTCTGCTCTGTGTAAACCTAGAGTGGTGAAGTCTGATATACAGTATTTAGATGAGTTTGGTGACTAACTTACTTCCCCGACAACATCACGATGACCCAGATATCTCCTCATCTGATTCAGTCTAGTACCACACTGTCCATGCCTCTCACTGAGCCAGGCCCTGGGGGACGTTCGGGCTCTGAGGTCTCCAGGACAACATTTACATTTTAGTCATTTAGCAGACGCTCTTATCCAGAGCGACTTACAGTTAGTGAGTGCATTTTTATTTTTTTTCATACTGGAATCAAACCCACAACCCTGGCGTTGCAAATACCATGCTCTACCAACTGAGCTACATCCCTGCCGGTCATTCCCTCCCCTACCCTGGGCCAATTGTGCACCACCCCATGGGTCTCCCGGTCGCGGCCGGCTACGACAGAGCCTGGATTCGAACCAGGATCTCTGCGATGCAGTGCCTTAGACCACTTCGCCACTCGGGAGGGTAGACAACAGTCTCTGCAAGTGAAAAATGTCAAAGCAAAAATACTCAACACACAAAGTGCCTACTGTGAGAGCTGGGTGGGCATGTTGACTGTTTTGAGAGAAGATGCCTTATTTTGCTAGATATTTGGTCTGGTCTGGGCTTATGTATGGGTTTAATTTTTCCAAATGTGTCTTGGTTTACATCCCAGTAAGTGTCAATACTGGGTCTGGTATCAGGCACTACAGGGACCACCCTTTCCAACCCCAACCCGAAAATAAAACTTTCTTGGATAAGTGTGTGGTCTATGTCAGGGTTTCCCAAACTCGGTCCTGGGGCCTCCCCTGGGTGCAAGTTTAGTTTTTTGCCCTAGTACTACACAGCGGATTCAAATAACCAACTCATCATCAAGCTTTGATTATTTGAATCAGCTGTGTAGTGCTAGGGCAGAAAAACAAAACGTTCAACCAGGGGGGGGGCCCCAGGACCGAGTTTGGGAAACCCTGGTCTATGTAGCGAAGTAAGCGTGCTCATTACTACGTGTTTGCTGCCCCGTGAGAACTTCATTCAATGAGTCTGTGTTATGTTTAATAAATCTTTGATTCTTCATTGCAAGATTATTCAATTGACGGTAGCTGCAGCTGAGGGCAAATACACAGACGTGTTGTTCGAGCTAAACAAGCAACATCGTGAAATCAAACAAGCCAGCAAACATCACTGTTCGCTGTCAGCAAAAATCACAACCTGCCTAGCTAGCTAATGGTAATGGCTCTTTCGCCAGAGAGGATTTCAAACGTTATTTTGTTTTTGATTGACGCTGATTAACTAGCTAGCTTGCATTCCGTACATGGAGGTAGAGATGACCCTGCTAATGTCGACACTAACTACTGTACGTGCACGTGAATTATTCTAACTCTGACCTACACTAGTAAGATAGCTAGTTACATCCTTGCCATCAGGCGTCCTCTTTACTGATTACATAGATATATTTAGAACGCTTAGTTACATTAATTGCAGCTAGCTAGCTACAAATTTGTTTCCGCTGAATTCCAAAAACGGCACGTGGGCAGACAGACCAGCCAATCTGAGGCAAGTGCGCATTGCGATCTCGTGCAAAAAAAACAACATAATTTAAAGGGACAACACTCAATCGGTAACAAATGAATTACATTTGGTTCAGCACCTTGGACAGCTCCCGTCATTTCAAAGATTTGGAGTCACTGGTGCATAGGTACTTTTTCTAAACTGGAGATGCCTTCTCTGACATAATTCAAAGGGGTTTGGAGTTATATTAACCAAGTACTGTAAAATGAGCCCTATAATAGTCTATTTTAACCAGATAGCCTAAACAGGCTGTCAGGATTCAGATCATTCAGGATTCAGAAAATACAAGATACAATTTGAGAGAACAATGATGTTGGATATTTAAAAAATACACATACAAGATTCTATAATAATTTGTGGTTGCAGCAGTACCCGATAGGTGTGGATGATTGGGTTCAGGCTTTGCTTTATGGATCCCCAGATGCTCAATTTTGAGCAGTTGCCTATATTTCCTCCGGGTGACATAATTCCTCCACTCCATTAATAACACCGCTACCAGCGATCACATCAATCTGAGGATTGAGACGGCCCTCAGTCTGGCTGGAATGCAAGTCACATGGTCTGTGAATGTGACCAACATGAACAGGCACAGACCCTGTGAAGGAAATGTCTATCTCCAACATCTTGAGTGGCTCAATCATTTACATTTACATTTACATTTACATCATTTAGCAGACGCTCTTAACCAGAGCGACTTACACATCCACATCAGCTACGCATTGGCTACTATCGATTGATAAAATAACAGAAAATGGTTTTGAGTGATACAAGGAAGAGTAACTGCTGCTTCAGCAACAGCTAATGGGGATCCAAATAAAATACATACCATAGCATGTGTTCTAGCCTCACCATGAACAATTTATTTTACCCTGAATAATGTAATTGTAACTCATCTGGACTAAGCAACATATTACATTTACGTTTTAGTCATTTAGCAGACGCTCTTATCCAGAGCGACTTACAGTTAGTGTAGGCTACAATATTAGCCCTAGTAACCTACACTTGATAAATTGAGAAAAAAAAACTGGTTGAATCAACATTGTTTCCACGTGTTTACTTGAATCAAATGAAAACTGATTGGATTTGCAAAAAGTCATCAATGTAAGGGAATTTCGTATTTTTGTCACTCAACTTTTATCATAAATCCAATAACATGGTGAAATGTTTTGTTGATTTCACGTTGAATTCTCTTTAGTTGACAACTCAACCAAATCAAAACGAGGGGTTGGGCTACATTTCTGGGCTCCCAAATGTGTCCAAGTGCAAGTCTTGGCAGCAGTTGATTTTTCGTAGATAATGAGAGAGATAACAACACAATGTAGCCTTTCATTAGCTAAAAACACATATTGACATGTTTTTCCTATGGTGCTGACGTTGCACATTTACCATCACCATCTTTATTTATAACGCGCTTTCGACGGCAGTAGTCAGTGCGGTAGCCAGTGCGGTAGCCAGTGCGGCCCATTCAAACCCACCACCGCCAAAATGATCTGGTGTATATCTGGTCAGTACTGACTACTGGTCAGTATCAGTAACCTACATAAAATGGACAAAACATATTTTCATTATTATGATCTCTTACATTCGATATCAGCCTAAAGTAGTGCATGCTGATAAAAGGCATTGCAGATTTTTGATCAGAAGAATATTGGATGATGGGAAAACTCCTGAACAAGATATGCTATCTTTTAAGCTATGTGTTTATTTGTTTTACATTATGTTGGTTGTTATTTAATGAATGCAATGAATATAAGAGTACATTTTCATTGTAATCCACGTTTTTATTTTTCACGTTTATATTGGCACCAACATAGACATTGTTATAAATGGATAAGTCAAAACAGCACACAATATTAGTTGTTTTTACACGTTTGTTTTTGTGTAAATGGTAGGCTACCCCACTGGTATATTACAGTGAACATCAGTGTGAACATCAGTGTGAACATCAGTGTGAACATCAGTGAGAACATCAGTGAGAGGTCCCATGTATAGCAGTACGCCTAGGTTATGAGCATATGTAATAGGCCCTCAATGATTTTTTTCCTTATCATGTTCATACTTGAACAGTCTCACTTGTAAGACATTGTTTTTCACTACTGACATGCTACTTTCCTTGAATTAATATTCGAAAAGATGTTGCAACCTTTTCAATGACGTCAAGACAGTTGTTTTGGGCCTGACTATCCATTTGGAGCCATCACTTACATTCTACAGGAGCCGAAATGGGTCTAATCTGGCTCCGTAGCTGTCCTCCAGTACATACCACAACGCCCTTCGGCGGGTGTATGATGGTACTCGACTGCTGCTTTAAACAGCAGCACTGACATGGAAACCCCATTGCAGTTGCAGAACGATATCCTTCAAGAGCAGCAGTTCCAGCATCACTGTAAGTACCAGGACTACTGCGGACGAGAGGAACGGCTCACTAAGGAGCGCAACCAATGC